CAAATCGCCTTCATTGAAACGCTTGAACCATTTCTGTGCAGTTCGCGGTGCCACCGTACCTTCACCTTCAACGTCGCAAATTGCTTTGGCAGCTGCTCTTGCATCCAAATTCTTTCTCCAATAATGACGCAGCAATACGCGAAGCTCAAAATTTGTGATTTCATAATCAGACATCTTAAAAAATCAATAAAATTTCATAATAGCCACAAAACCAGATCAAAAACACAAAAAAATATAAAAAATCATTATTTTAATATGGAGCACAAACTTTTTCCTCAACCTAGTAAAATAAATAGAAGGTCCTCCAAAGACCCTGAATATGGGGTTTGACACAAGTCTTATGTAATTGGTCATGTATGGGTGTAAATATATGACCCACACGTATTTCATGTGTTGGCTCATACAGTGATACCACATATGCCATTTTGACCAAATCTTGGGGATGTGTGGTGTAAATGATGCTCTTGACATGACCCGTTTAAAAAAAGTTGAAGGGGGTCAAGTTGGGTGATTGTGATGGCCATGCAAGTGCACCTCCTCTCCCAATCCATCTGTAACAGATTCAAGTTCATCTATTCACTGCTTACAGTTTACTTTTTCTTCAGTCATAACCATTTTGATCTATCTGTAGAAAAACAAAGCAACAGAGGTATACAAATTTGACTATCAAGCTTTATAATGGTGTTGACTATTTTGTTCTATCTGAAATAGTTAAAATGTTATTAATTATTGAAACTCCTCCTGAACTTTTATAACGCTGTATATGGCAACTTATGTAAATATTTGTTGGTTTGGCATGGAATTATCAAATAAGATTTTGAGTATTTTTATATGAATTTGAAAAATATTATTTTCATCCTTCATTTCTTTCACACTCAAGATGTTCATGATTTTGGTTGGATGATGTGCAGTGCAGATAAGGGAAAAATTATAATGTACCATTCATGAAAGTAAAAGCATGTCAGCACTGCTGCACAAAGTTAAATTCTTCTTGAGTAAATGCTCCCATAGGGTGTGCTGCATGCTGCAAAAGAGTTTCTCAATCCTTTTTATCATTATCTTATTCATATGTTTAGAAATTCAAAGTTGTATTAAGGATTTCTCTCATAACTCTGGAATTGGAGGCTTTGAAAATGAATTCCTCTCCTCAAGTACCTCTCAATCTGAAAGTCTTTAAGTTGAATCTGAAGCAATCAAGACAATATCATTGCTAACCAACATGATGGAGTAGGTTTGTTCTTGGGGTATAGGAACACCCTTCATTTTATTACTTGACCCTTCACTGCACTGAAGGTCTTGGCATACTACTTAGTCTTTTCTTGCATGAAGAGTCAATTTTATGAATGAGAGGGTTCTATTCAGTTCAACAGGGGCAACACTTATGCAAGACATCTACTGTGATCTCATGGGGGCTCAAGTGAAGACGTTGTCATTCCTTGCATACATGGTGCGCTTCTATGCCGACACTGTTGCCACTCATTCTGTGCAGCTGGTCCAAGGTGTGATGGGACTCTTCAGGCTTTGTCCTGGACAGGTGGCCCATCTTCGCAAAGATCTTCTAATTGCTGCTCGACACATCCTTGCTACAGATCTCAAGCTCAGTGAGTAGACAGCTCCTTTTTTGTTTATAAATTGGTTCTAAAATATATATACACATTCAAAGAAAAGGTTCAAATCTTGGGTGTATCTCTTTGAAGAGTTTGTACCAGTATTAGAACAACTTTTGGACGAGGACATGCTCTTGGGAGTGGGTTGGACAACACAAGAGTCTTTGAGATCCATTGCTAACTCTACAGTGGCTGATCTTGTTCACCATGTACGGATTCATCTCAGTCTGGAACTCATTTCCAAGGCTGTGGAATATTTCTCACGCAATGTCCATGATGATTCTCTGCCGAGCAAGTGTGTATCTGTCTTCTTTCATAATGGATGTTACTAGTTCTGCAATGGAATTAGATGAAAACTTTGTATATTTGCAGCATTCAGACTATGTCATGTAAGTTACTCTTGAATCTGGTGGATCCTATTCGGGGCAAAGCTGAGAATGAAGGGAAAGGAGCAGCAGGGAGGCCTTTGCTTATGAAACTCCTTGCTGTGATTATATTTAAGTTCAAAGCCCTGGCCAAGAACTATGCTCTCTTGACATGTGGAGGAGGGTGAGTCTTCAGCAGAAGTTCCTTGAATCAGGCTTGGTTGTGAAAAAGTGTTACATGTATGGGGTGTTGCAAAACCTTTTGCTAGGAGGCCTCAGATGAAATTGAAAACGGTACAAATAAAATCACTGCATCAAATTGAAAGTATTTCATTTCTGGAGCCAATGACATATTAATAAAGGGTGTTATAAAACCTTTTTCTAGGTGGTCAGGGACATTATATACAATTGAATTGAGGTCAGGTGAATTTTGGGGCCACACGTCAGGTTGCACGAAGTCAGGAATACTTGGTGTTCCTGACCAGTGGTTTATTATGTAAGGAAAGAATGTGTCAACACATGTATATGGGGGCCATTTGGGATGAAAACCACTTCATTGAGTGTGTTAATGAAGCCTGGAAACTCCAGGATCAAGCTGAAATGAACAGAGTGATCGATCTGTTCAGATGGTAAGTTGTGATGTGCATTGATCAAGATGGGGGCCACTTTGAAAATTTGCTGTAATTGCTGGAGATTTATTGCTCAAACTAAATTAACATTTTTTGATGTGAAGCAATACTCTATGTTGAGTTTCACCTGTAATAAAATTTGATTTCATCTAGTGGTATTGTAAATTTCTTTGATAGCCTTGGGGTCCAAGATTTTTTGGACCACCCTGTACAATCAATATATGGCTCATTCTATCACTATTTCCTGGTTCAGCACATTTAAGAGGTTTTGAGAGACCTGGAGTATGAGACATCTCTTCAAAAACCTGCTCCAATCATACCCATCGCATTTGCAGGCCCTGCATCAGGCAAATGGTGGTCACACAAACTATTAACCCTTTCATGGTCACGCACTGAAATATCAGTTACCCTCCAAGGAGGTTTAGGAAAAATTGGACTGTGAAAGGCTTAATATGTTATTGGATCCAGAAATGAATTACTTTTAATTTGATGCAGTGATTTTATTTGTGCTGTTTTTAGTTTTTTCTAGGATCCCCCTAGCAAAAGGTTTTGCAACACCCTGTAGAAAGTCTCCAAAACATGCTTGGTTTGGGCTTTTTTAAAATGTAATTATCAATGTGTGTTTGATACCATGAAGGAGGAAGAACAGCCAAGAGGAGAAAGAAGAGAAAGGGCTTCCTCCACCATTCACCAATCCAGGAGACATGAAGAACTTAGTGAAAACCCTTGTCTGTGTTGCCAAAAGTGTTTCATGGACTCTCTGTTCCACATTCAAGGTTGGCTGAGTTCATTGACCAAAACATTAACATTTTCACCTCTGATTGTCATTACCCTTCATGGTTTCTGTATTCCTTACAGCTGGGAGCAGAAGCAGGTGGAAGTTCTGGGAAGCAGTTCACTGTCAAGGAGACATTCCTTTTTATTGACTTAGTTAAACATGGATTGAATTGTTTAGATCTCTTTGTTGTGATTCCACCTCCCCCTGCAAAAAATGCCCTGACTTCCTCAGACAAAGTGGCCACTCCTGCTTCTGCTACTTCCCTCCAGGTCTTACCAACTAGTAATTCAACAGCAACTACACCAAATGCAGCAACAGCAGCTGCTGCAGCCGCTGCTGCGGCTGTTAGAACCAAGGAAGAGAAGGAAGTATTAGAGCATTTTGCAGGCGTGGTAAGTACTCTTGATTGTGTCTTCTTCCTCATTGCAATCCCAACTTGTGTCAAAGCATGTATTATATTCAATTTCACATCTGTTGCAGTTTGCCATGATGGAGCCAGCAACTTTTCAAGAAGTCTTCTCTGTTACCATTGGAGTTGTTGTAGAGTACATCCATGGGAACCCTTCTCTACAAGTCATTGCCAATTCCTTTCTTGCTAACCCAACAACCACAGCTATATTTGCATCACTTCTTGTCCAATACCTCCTGGACAAGATGGAGGAGATGGGTTCCAATATGGAGAGGTCCAATCTTTATCTCAGGCTTTTTAAGCTGGTCTTTGGGAGTGTGAGTCTGTTTGCAGCTGAGAATGAGCAGATGCTCAAGCAGCATCTTCATGTCATTGTCAACAGGTGAAAATTTTTTGTTGAAATTTATCCATTTTACTGCATATCTGAGTTCTCTGCAGTTCTCATTATTCTTATGCTTTTTTGTCTAGATCAATGGAATTGGCCCTGAGTGCCAAGGAGCCATACAATTATTTTCTGTTATTGAGAGCCTTGTTTCGAAGCATTGGAGGTGGTTGTCATGATCTCCTATATCAAGAATTCCTTCCTCTTCTTCCATCTCTTTTGCAAGGTTGGAGCATTATGAACTTTGTTTTTGTAAGCTCTGCTCTTCCTTGTTGCATGCATTCTGCAAGTCACAGATCCACCCTTGTTTCTAGGACTGAATAGCCTCCAGAGTGGAGCTCACAAACAGCATATGAAAGATTTATTTGTGGAACTGTGCCTAACAGTCCCAGTGAGACTGAGTTCTCTTCTCCCATATCTTCCTATGCTAATGGACCCCCTTGTGTCTGCCTTAAATGGGTCTCAGCATCTTATTGGTCAGGTAAGTGAAGGCATTTTTGTTGCATCTGTAGTATTATTTTTTTTTGAGAGAGAGAGAGAGAGATATTGTGTTGCATTTCTACACTATCAGGGTCTCCGAACACTGGAGCTATGCGTAGATAACCTCCAGCCAGACTTTCTCTATGAACACATCCAGCCTGTCCGAGCTGTCTTAATGCAGGCTCTCTGGAGAACACTTCATAATCCTAATGATCAAGTGTCTCAGGCAGCATTCAGGTGAGGAACTTCTCATATGCTGATTAAGTCTCATCTGTTTTTCAGAGCTATGCACATCTGAAGCATTCATTAAATTTGTTGGGCAGGGTGTTAGGGAAGTTTGGAGGTGGAAACAGACGGATGCTGATGGAGCCACAGGAGCTGAAATATGAGGAGGAGGATCATGTCAACCCAGAAGTTGTGCTCACATTTCCTGAACAGGGACTTCCAGTGCAGCTTCCTGTTAAAAGACTTCTTGAGACTGCAGTTGCAGCTCTCAAAAATCCCTCCACTGATATATTTTATCGACAGCAGTGCTGGGAGGTGATTCGCTCTTTCCTCATGGTGTCATTCACCTGGGATTCTGATCCTGTTGTGATTTCTCAACTTCTCTCCCATCCCAGGTGAGGACATCCCCATGAACTGAGGTTTTCACATCATTGCAGACCTAAAAGAATATATTAAATCATTATATGGCATGATAGTGCCTCAGTGTAAGATATAGTGATTTTGAATGGCTTTCCAATATTAACCCTTCCACTGGTATTCCTGAAAAATTCTCAGGCTGACATTCCTTTCTTGTCTTAACAGCAACAGGTGAAGAGGTTAATTTCCATCTTAAGGATACTAATTGCAAACCTATAAATCTGTATATCTATAAATGTGTGGTCTTTGGTATTGTTTATCTTCTGTTGGTGACTGAAGATAAATCTGATCAAGAATGAAAATACTAGACAAATTTTGACTTTAAATACCATTTTACTCATCTTGCACTAGGGGTGTGTGGGGAGGTCTCAAGTGCTAATATAGTACTGAAATTACTACATTACTGTAAACCATATTTGTAAACCATATTTGTATCTCAATCAGAGTGATTGAATCTGAGTATCCTCCAATCTGAACTCCAAATGGAAGTATCATAGAGTCAATGTGAGCAGCCATCAGCAAATGTAACCAAAGGAACCTATGTTTAGTAGAGGAAACTTCATTTGCTGCATAGATGAGAGTGAAGCCATGTTGAAGTGTTTAGCTGATTTGAATCACCTTTGTAATTGTGACTCAGAAATAATGAATCACCCAGAGTGCAAGAATTAATCATGGTTCTAGCATAGCATAATAGACCTCTGCTTTACCAACCTGTATAGCTCCCCCAAGCAAAGGATTCATATTTTTCCATAAGCTTAGTGCAACTGTACTGAAACCATCAGGCAAAACACCACTTGCAGATAAATCCATTCGGTAGGGTAAGATGGGAGAAGTGTACCCCAAAAATGTATAGTTTCATTCTTAGAATCCTCTCATTTCAATTAAATTTGATATGGAAATGTCTTATTTTGCTGTCATTTTTGGTGATTATTCCCTCACTTCCAACCTTGTGATTGTCTCCAGATACATAATACCCATGTAGTAATGGGAAGAAACTAAAGTATGATTTGGGATATACACTTCCTCTGGTGTTGGAATCAATATGGGACCAAGCTCTGAATTATTCCATGTTGAGATTAACCCTTAAACTACCAAGCTCAAAGTTTCACATGTTATAGGCTTGGCCATTTAAGGGTTAATAACACAGGTGTAGGTGTGATGCATGCAATAGTGTCAGCTGTCTGGCAACTTAAATGTCATCACCAAGTATATCATAGATAAGAGTCTGTGGTCCTGCAAAACAAAATAGTCTGGGTAGTCCTTGATAATCAAAAGAACTCCTTGAGAAAATTTAAGAGAACATAAGTAAGCATCCATCCTCCCATGCATATACTTCTTATATAAACTTTTAAATATATATATTTAAAAGTCCTTCCTTCATATCCCTTCATTTTTACAAAATTCCCAGGTTTGTTGTGATACAGAGAAATGAAGCAGTCAATGAAGAGCAGTCAATTAATTGGTTTCAACATCAATGAGGAGCATTCAAGCTTGAAATTTGTAGTAGATGGTGGCAACAACAGTTCCAATTCTGGATCTAGGATGAGTTCCAGAATCTGACTGTCATGGATGAATGTTGCATTATTTTCATGTCAGTGGAACACTTTGTTTGATCAATTGCTATATTTATTTGTAATTAAAATACTATTTTGATATTTCTTGTATGAAAGGCAAAGCCTTTCATACAAAGTCTACTTAGGCTATCAGGCAAATGACTTGCTTGGAGAAAAAGGCATGGTATGTTGAGTCTAAGTCAAGTTGTTTTTATTGAGAGTATTGTACATGTTTTCATTGATTAAGGTAAATGTAAATTCAGAATGCAATTCCTCTCATTCTTGGGACTGTGTTTCTGTAGGGGATAACCATACCCCAGGGTTTGGCAGCCCTGAGCTAACTGTATACTTTCTCTCTTATTCTCTCATGCCAGATATTCACCTGTTGATATTGAAGCTTAAATCATTTGACTTTGGTGAAAATATATTCTTGGCAAAAGCAACAGAGAAAGCAATATTCTCCAAGCATTTTGAGCCAGGTGACCATTCAAGTCCTATAGATCTGAAATCTATGCAGCTGACAGTAAGCTCAGGTAGAGCAGAGATTGAGCTCCTTGAACATGTAAATCACCATTTAAAGAAGAGAGTTTTTTTCTGGAGTTTTAAGCAGAGAGTATGCATTTACCCCACCCTACCCTTATTTCAAAGTGTGGAAATGGCACAGTTGCAGTTTTACAAGCAGACTATATCATCTATTGAAAAATTATTCTCATGTAAACCTCATTTTCTCCTCCATATGGCAATGGTCTGAGTTTGAAAGGTGTTTAATCATGAACTTCTGGACTTCTGGATCTGCAAAAGGAGCATGCATTGTATGTATTATATGTATGTATGTAAAGTATCTCTCATGCTCTTTTGTATTCTTGTATCTCAACACTTGACTGATGAAATCTACTGTAAATTCAAAAGAATGACTACGGCAATATAATTGCTTCTAGGATTATCATATTCTCTAAAAACTAGGGCTTGGCTGAACAGGTGCTCTCAGCCTCTTCTGTGCTGAAAAATAAAAGCAACAAAAATGTAAATAGTAAGTCTTTTTCAATGACTGAGACCTAGTTTGAATTATGGCATTGGACATGCTGCTGGATTCCTACTGTCTGTTCAAAGAAAATGGAGACTTATACCAGTTCTGGTGTCTTGCTAGTACCTACTGACAAAAATTCACACTTACCATAGGTAAAGGCAGAAATTCCTCCTTGCCCCTGCACCGGCTTCAAATGCTGACATTGGCATCCTTACCAGATTTCCTTACTATTTACCAAGAATACATAGGCCTAGGACCAAGGCTAAGTATTTTATGTCCCTTTGGCATATACATTACAAGTATATGCCAAATAAAATGTATACTTTACAAGTGCATGTATTAGTCATTCTCTGGCACAGCAACTGCATCAAATGATATCACTGAACATTTAACTGCACTTGTGTTTGCATTCCAATCAAACTAATGGGTGTTTCTGGCTTCCCCATGTGTAAAAAGCAGTATGGAGATTCAGTGTCATCAAACTTAGGCTGGCATGAAAAAAATAACATTGAAGAATGTTAGACATTTGTTGACTCCCCCACCCCTATTTTCCTCTATTGGCATTAGCACTGCCTGATGTCTGTGAGATTGTAAATGCTCTCTACTCCATCATTCAAAGACTAATCATTACAGTCCTACTAAAAATCCTTGACAATATGTTATCCTGAATGGTAAAGAATTTGAATTGTAAATACTGATTTGCCCTTGAAAGCATAAAAAATGTTTCCTGACATCTGCATTCCATGAGGGAGATGTCAGGAAACATTTTTTATGCTTTATTATTATTTAATACATTCACTGCAGAACCAAAATGTATACACTATGCTGTGTGAGTCATTGACGACTCATGCTGCAGTGAACATATTAAGTCTTCAAGGGCTAACATTCATGAAGGTGTTCATATTGATTGACACTTTTTCTTGTCATAGATTATGTTCTCAATGTTTTTATCGATGTCTTCTGTTTTTTTATATGTTCATGACATATTACTGTCAAGATTGTCAAAATTCCTCAATGTCATCGCATTGAGGAATTTTCCACTTCTTTTCACTTCTAATTCATAACTGTTTTTTTTTTGTTTTTAGCAATGCTTGAAAAGTGAGTTCTGAGAAAGAAGTTCTCAGAGATGTCAGAGCCCTTGAATGTCTCATGAAACCATACCTTTCCACAATTTAGAGTATTGTTTGAATGTGCCTACTGATGATTTATACTGTACCTTCAGAGGTGTCATTATAATGCCTTTCTTTTTTTTCCATGCATATAGTGGCATGATCCTACATGATTCATAATACTCCAATTTGCACTTCATGATTAGGGTTTCTATATCACTTTTCCTTCTCCTGTTCCCTGCAGCTTCAAGGAAGGGGCTATCCCAAGCACACCCAGCAATGGCCTGTACAGATGTGGAGATAGCCACCTCAGGGAACTGTATCAGCTGGCCTTGAGTGGCATGTTTATAGCAGCTCTCAAAGACCTTAGAGAATCAGTACTTCCAACTTTGAATCCCCTTGTTCGTCACCTAACTCTCCTGGCCATCATTCAAAGTGGTATGTCTCTTCAATTTCCTATGGTATGAGAAGTCACCTTTTGAACTCAGTACATCTTGGTGCCACCAACTTGATTCAGGTCCTTGGCCCATGACAGAAAAGGGAAAAGGGACCAGTCGAGGCATGGATCCCTTGGTACTTATAGATGCATTGGCCAGCATCATGGGGAATGAGGAAAAGGAACTGTGCAAGCCTGGTCATCTGGCTCTCTCATTGATTCTTGACACAACCACAGCCATCATGGGCTCCAAAGAAAGGGCATCGCAGCTTCCTTTAATGGATTACATGTCTGAGAAACTGTGCGCACTCTGTTATGAACGACCGTGGTATGCCAAACTTGGAGGTTGCATTGCCATTCAGTTCCTCCTGGAACGACTCCCTCTTCTCTGGCTGATGAATCATCAATTTCAGTTCATCCGAGCTCTCCTTTTTGTCATTAATGATCTCACTGGTGAAGTGAGTTTCATGGTCTTCCTCTTCCAGAGACTTACAGGTATTGAGATAACTAAGCTGACATGAAATGTTGTTCATCTTTGCATTGCAGGTGTCCAGTGGAGCTGTGGACATGGCAAGAGGAAACTTGGACAGAATCATTGAGATGTGTTCCTCTCCTCTCCCTCCAATCCCTGAAACTCCCACAGACTTGTTGGCTGCTCAAGAGAAGGCTTTATCAGAGGTGACAATGGAATTTATCAAGCATGTCACAGGTCCCAACACAGCCCTGAGAGAACAGGTATGCCTGCTTTTGGTATGGAGAACTCAGTCAGACATTTTCATCTGGTTCAGTTATGAATCACCAGTGGTACTTGTGCTGTTATGATACATAGTCTAAGCGGTGTTTGGAAAAACTGGCTGAGGTGCGAGGGAGTGGTCTGGCAAGCCTTGTTTCTCCCCACAAAGAGATTCTGAGTGATCTTGTTCCTCCAAAAAGGCATCATCTTCGACACACTCCACTCAGCACTCAAATTGGCCTTATGGAAGGAAATACCTTCTGCACATCACTTCATCCCCCCCTCTTCAATTTTGGTTAGAACATGTCACTCTTCCTATGTTGTGCCTCCATGGTGATGTAGAGGTATTGTAATGATCTTTAAAGGAAGGTAAAAGGCAAATTTGTTTTCTTGATCAGATTTGTCAGTTCCTGAGCATCGAAGCTTTTTCAATGACTTGGTAAGCATCTGTGAAACAGAAGATGCCAATCTCCTGAAGCTAGCCTGCTATAAGTCTGTGGCATCCCTCATCCCATTGAGAAAAGCAGCACTTGAAGCTTTGGCCTCTTGTCACTCCTTTGATCGAAATCTTACTATTGAAAAGATCCTTCCTGTTCTGTTTAAAGCCTTCACTTCAGGAGTGCCTGAACTTCTTCAGGTCTCCTTCTGCTGCCTCCAGAAGATTCTCCCACATCTGCAGTTGGAAGATGATATTGTGAGAGCACTTGAATTTTGTTATGATGGTCCTTAATTTTTTCATTACTTATTTGGCTGTAGATAATGACATATTACATGATGTTTGGGAACAGGTGAATGGACTTACACATGGGATTTTGAACCACATCACAGATTATCGATCTCTAAATGTGTCAACTCTTGAGCAACTCATCTGCCTTGGACAGCTTTTTCCGGGTTTGTTCAGTGAGAAGATTCATGAACAGATGCTTCAGCACCTGAAGAAGTGGCTGGAGGTTTCCATCGTTCAAGCAAAGAGTATGGAAATGAAGGAAAAATTTTCCAAACTTATTCCTTTCTGTCCATGGTTGCATGCATGACTGAGCCCCGAATACTAGGTGCAAATCGAGGATGCATTGGAGTGGAGCGGGAGAAGGAGATCTCTGGCAAGATATTGACCTTTTTCGGGAAGCTTCAGTCAGTGACAGAGAAATATGTGGAGCCATGCCTTCGACTAGTGCTTCAGGTGGAGAAAACTCTTGGCCAGGAGGCATCATCACCGTTTCGTGCACCACTCCGTCCCCTTCTCCTTAGATTCCCCGTTCACACTATCAACATTGTCCTCCAAGATGCCCTCATCAAAGTCAGGGTTATTTCTCATTCCCTTTTATTAACACTTCTCACTCAGTTGTGCTTCAGAACTTTTTGTTTACCTCATAGGATGAAGGGAGCTCTCGATTCCTGATCCATCTATTGGAGCAAGAGGAAGGAAAGAGCCTTAGGGAAGTACTACAGGCAGCTCCTGACAAAATCAATGACCTTCTGCATGGCAAAAGTTTTCTCATGTCTCAACCCTTCAGTGAGTTCCTCTTCAGTATTTCATGCCAACCTGGAATCCAATTCTAATGGACTTATGGTTGCATGCAGATGATGAGGAGCAACTCTTGGTGCGTCACCTGGCCATTCGGATCTTATCTGTGCTTGTGAAGCATGATGATGAATGGATCGCCGACCAGCACGTTCTTATTCAGACCCTCATTGACATCTGGGCATCTGATACCTATCATGTGTGCACACTAAAAGTCACCTTATATCAGCCAAGACATTTGCTTTGACAGACTGGTGAATATGAAATTGTGTTTGATTGCAGGCACACTGGAAACAGCCAGGGGAAGCAGCTGAAGCATGGAGATGGAATGAGCCTCAGCTTGTGGCCAAGATACTTTTGCGATATTTCCATCATCACCCCAACTCTATTGATCTTCTCTTTCACTTAATGAGGGCGTGGCATCTTCGTTACTTTGCCAGCTTTCAGTTTATTGAAATCTACATTCAAGAAACTGTAGCTGGGACTTTTCCTGTGGACTGGAAACGTAGAGCATTTTTCCGCTTTGTGGAGCTCTTCACGGCTCCTGATCGTTGTGCAAATGCAGTAGGGGGTCAGAGCCGAGATGAGGAGGATCTTGCAAATCGTGCTGCATCTGTGATGCCAACACCACAAATGAAGGCTGCAGTTCTTACTCGAATCATCATTCCTTGCCTGAAAGCCAGTTTTATTAATGGAAAAGTGGATGATCTTGTTGGAACTCCTCCTGCTCCAGACCTTGATTCCTCTGACAACATCGTCTCAGTCTTTATCACCAAGGCAAGTGCAGGGAAGGATAGGAACCTATTAGGTTAATTTGACTCCATTCTAACCCTGAAAATGTAATGTTTCTCTAGTTTATTAAAAGATTACCACCTAAGTGGCAGCTCAATACTTGCCATTTTTAGAAATATTGGTAAATGTCTTCAGCATCAGAAACAGTTTCTGAATTTTCTTCCTGAAAACTGCTGGCCATGGTGACAAGCTGACATCACTATGGATATGGGGTCATTTATACTCTAGGAATATATCAAAGTTGTATTATGTTCATTATCAGGAATATATAGTCAATTTACATTTTATGGAAAATTAAGTTTTTTCCCTCATAATTTAGTTGCAAAATGCAGGAAAAAGTGACATTGTGTGTACCTACTGAAGTCTGGATTGCTCATTCATACTTTCCTCTGATATTCTGTATTTTTAAACTAATAAGAACTTAGTACAACTTCTGATGTTAAGAGCTGAGGTCTTCAGTTGTTTTTCAGTTATGGCTGTTAAGGAAATTAGAATAAATATTGTAGTTGTGCTTATGGTATAAATAATATTCATTTTTCAGATTTGTATTATTGTATTATCTAGGAAATGGTTGCTGAGTGTTGAGGACTGGGAAGAGTAATATGTTTGAGACTGATAATGATTGAGACATCAATGTCTATAAAAGTATCAGTGTTGGTGCTTAAATGAAAAGATTCCAACTTTCACCTTTTGATTACCTACTAAACTTACTTATACTCAAATCAAATGATGTTATTGAAAGGGAGCTAGTTTAATATAATTAATGTGCATATAATTAATATATGTTAGTTCATCTCCATTTAATCCATTAATGCCTAGATTTTTTTCATCCCTTGATCTCCAAATGGGAATCAATTCTGGCTATAAAATTGCCCATAAAAACCTAGATGTCCTTCATTTCATGCATGCATACAATACCTCACTCCATACTTAATACTATCATATTTCAATTATTTCCCAGCTATTAAACATAAAGAATAATAGAGGCTTTAATTTTGAATGTATAGTTTGTATAGTTATGTGTGTCAATTACATATTTATATATACTTTTGAGGTGTATATATCTAAAAAGCCAATTTATTTTTCACTACTGGGAAACACTTGTGATTACTCATGAGTATTGCAACAATTAATATTGTAGTATTCTGTACAAATGAAAAGAAAAACTAAATCCCCATTTGGGGATCATGGGACATAATGGATTAATAGCTCTCCCCACCACCCAGTTAGTGCTGATAAAGATTAAGTGAGAAAAGGACAGGAGCAGATCTAACTACTGTAAAGTGATTGTGGTGAGAATGGAAGAATTCTTGTGCACCAAAGGTAAGTACACTCTTACAGGTTGGCCTCACTCCCCCTACCTCTCATTAATCAAAAGGGTAGATCCTTTGTCAGCTGACCTGATGTGACACTAGTTGACAGTATGATAATACCTTTACTTATCTGTAGTCCATCTGGATCTGAACAAATATACTATAAGAATATATGAATTCTGTCTGTGAAGGTTCTTGATGTGGAGAATGCCAATTGCTGTGGAGACAGTGTGCGGATTGCATTGCTTCAGTTGGCCTGCATATTTGTTGAGCATGCCTCCCAGCATATCCATGATGTTGGGAACAAAAAGCAGGGAACAAAGCTACGCCGTCTTATGACTTTTGCATGGCCATGCCTCATGGGGAAGTCCTGTGTGGATCCTTCTACCAAATATCATGGACACCTTCTTCTTTCTCATATCATTGCCACATTTGCCATCCACAAGCGCATTGTCCTTCAAGTATTCCACAGTCTCTTGAAAGCCCATGCAGTAGAGGCCCGAGGAGTGGTTAAGAAAGCACTTGAAATCCTCACACCTGCAATGCCTGGACGAATGGAGGATGGGAATACCATGATCATCTATTGGACCAAGAAGATCATCATCGAAGAGGGTCACACTGTCGCACAGCTTGTCCATATTCTCTCTCTCATTGTCCGTCAGTTCAAGGTCAGCTTTTCATAAGCCTAGATGTTGGAGCCTTTTCCTGGATCATGTATCCCCATGCTTACATTTGAAAGGATGATCTGTTTGCACAGGTATATTATCCTGTGAGAACTCACTTGATTATCCATATGGTTCAAGCAGTACAGCGTCTAGGTCTTGCCCCCTCAGCCACGCCAGATCAACGAAAACTGGCTGTAGACCTGGCTGAAGTCCTACTCAAATGGGAGCTGATGGCATCCAAGGGACCCAATCTCCTTGACACCATTCCACAGGTCTTAACCGTTTCTGCTGCTTCAGACAGAGATAGGGTGTTGAATGACTTAAGATGTCATGTGGGCTCTTCCATGACCAGGACCTCACTGATTTAGCAAGTTCTACTGAGAAGGAAGAGGAATCCAAGATGGATGTGAATGATGGCAGAGAAGAACAAGAAGGAAAGCAAGAAGAGGAGCCACGTTTGGAAAAGGCTCATGCAGATGCCATTGTCAATTTTCTCATTCGCTTTGCTTGTCAAGTGAGGCCTTTTGCAAGCCATTGCAAGGCATACATTGTGGTTCATTCTCATTTGTGTATTATGAAATCTTTGTGACTTGGCAGGTGTCTGATGTGAACCAAGGTGAAGTCCTGAGCAAAAGATGTCTTGCTCTGGCCAAAGTTGCATTGAGTCCAGACTTTTGGCCTAATACAGATCTCCGGCTTGCATGGATGGATAAACTATTCCAGTCTGTGGAAGGTTCTGCTGGAGTACAGGGTGGAAACATAGCAGGTGGAGGTGGAGGGACGGGCAAGGTAGGAGCAGTGACCAGTGTTTGCACTGCTTTGGAGCTTCTCATCTATCTCCTGGGGATTCTCAGGAGGGAGCAGGTCTTAAATGCAATCAAGCCTCTTCACAAGGGCATTACAGCCTGTATGCTTTCCTCCAACACCAAGGTGATCCTCTTTGGTATCTCTTGTATGAATGTGACAGTGGCATAGAGTATAACTCATTCAGCCATGTCTGCACTACAACTTCTTCTTGCTCCCTTAGCAGATGAGAGAATTCTTTCCTTAGAGAATTCAACAATTTTCCAGATGCTTGCAACCCTTTTCATGGCCATTGTCATTTTAAAACTTTAAGCCATACTGGCACCACAAACTGCTTGAAATTGATATGGTGTTCCTCACCATCTGTATGAAACATACATGCACAGGAAAGGAAGGTAATGAAGGCTATTCAGTTTGGTTTTTAGATCTGTCCTCATCCTTTATATTATAGTTTGAAAGTAAAGCCAAATTTCAAAATACACATTCAGTAGTTGATGATGCAGGCAGAGGAAGACTGTGCCATATACCATGGGCTTGGAATTGGGATTGCCAGCAGCAAAATATCTCAAAGTGATCCCCAATCCAGACATTCATGTATAGTGATGGTTGAAATTTTGTTAAATAATTTTTTTTTCTAAATTTCTGTCAGAATCAGTAAAGACAGAAAAGTTTTAGGTCTGTATTCACATCGCTCCCCTAACTGTTAAGGGACCCATAACTCAAGAAAGTTAGGGATCCCCTAGATGTTTCGTATTCACTTTCCTCCCCTAGCTAAGGGATCCTTAAACCCTACCCTAATGGAAGAAGGTAGGGAAGCTTCCATTTTTCACTTTTAGATGCCTGCGAGTTCACTGTTGTAGCTCCTGCAGCACCCCATCAAGGGGTCATTTCGTTACCGATGACAGTGTCTATGGTTGTAAATTCACCCCAATAATCCGTTTTTCCTTTCTTTAAGGTTATCCAGTTGAAGGATGATGTCAAATGAAATCCGCTGCTACTACGTATAAGCCACAACGAAAAGGATATCCCCTACTCTAAATTTACTATATATTTGTTCAGACTATATCTATTACCACGAAACTTGCACTAAGCATAGGCTAATATGTTTTCAAGAGATAGGTGAAATTTCATTTAAATGTATTGTGACGAGGAAAAGCTATTAGTCATATTTAAAATAAGTTGGAAACCATTGCAGTGGACAGTAGCACGTGCTGGTAGTTTAGTAGAGGAGACATCTGTGTTCTGCTGTGTGTATGCCATACAGGTTGGGTCAAGAATGTAATGCATTAAATTTAAAATTTTGGCTGTGTATAATTTTGATAATTTTATTCTAAAATAACAGATCAATGGCTAGTAAAACAGAGCTTGCAATAAGGCCCATACTTGTCACCCTCCCAGCAACAGTATAACAGAACAGTTAGGGGACCCCTAGGTAAGGGTTCCCCTAAAAATGGTATTCACGTTAGTCCCTTAAGAGACCCTTAGCTAAGGAATCCTTTAGGGGTGATGGAGGAGAAAGCACATGCACTGAAATTCTTTGATCTTCGCTGCCTCCTAGCCACATACACAGAAGTCGGAGGTCCTCTGCTTTTGTATTGATTGCAGCGGCAATTGTTTCATTTTGAGTCCGACACTTTTTCAGATTCTTTTGATACCTTGCTATAGCACTTCCCATGAATGGGTGACACGGTCAAGTGAAAAAAAGTGCCCTACTCAACAGCTTTGTCTGATTGCTGGCAAAAAATCCATATTTCCATGAAAGTCCAGTTTCCCACTAAGGAACCTACAAAGGTCCCTCAGATCTGTATCGCACCTATGACTCCAGGAAGCTTGACAACATGATAGAAAGCTGCTTGGATTGATTCGTATTCAGCAGAAGGAAATGAAATGAAATGCAGCACTTCTTGCAGCCAAGGCTCTGCACACAGCATGTATGCATTGGTTTACTGAGGCCTGACTCACATCTATACCTCTCAAATCTACAATGACTTGTTGGAATGAATTTGTCACCAAGTATCTCAAAGCAACAAGAACTCTTTGAATTGGCAGCAACGTGTTGCCTTGACTTGCTTCTTGGAGAGCAGAGCCACAAATATCTGCAATTTGTAGAACAGCCTGCTTGGAAAATCGAAACCTCTTCAAGAACTCTTCCTCATTGTAGAAGAGAAACACATCCGTCTTTTCATATATGATCAGACGAGGTATCCCTTCATGGATGCGCTGTAACTTCAACCAGATTTTCAGGCTTATTGTTATCTCAGTATATGAGAATTACCTGTTAGCACCTGTTAGAAACTGAGAAGAAAGCGATTTATAAAGTTCCTCCAATGAGGAACTCGTGACAAATTAATTCATTCAGGTAATCCTGAATCTACGAGTAAGATGAGTAAAAACATCAGCCTGTAAGACAACGCTGACTCAGCATTGCAAAATTATTGAAGTTTCAATATCTGTCATATTGTGTCAATGTTTCTCAATGTCGATACAATATGACAGGAGTGCTCATGAAATTATGAAAAACTACAAACTAACTCTGTTAAACAGGTAAAATAATTATTCGAAGCCGTTTTCAGAAACAAATGCAAAACCTCGAGAAGAGAACTGAAGAGGCATTTCTGCTCTCTGAAAGAGTGCGACGAATTCGCAGGAGTCTGCTAAGGGCGGCTGAAGGTTCTCCTAACTTCTTTCCAATTTCTTATATCTCTTAGGGGTGCATTTAATGATTCCCTAGCTAAGGGAAGAACGTGAATACGGTACCTCTAGGGGACCCCTATTTTCCAGCCTTTCCGGGCATCATCTTTTAGGGAACCCTTAGCTAGGGGTCCCCTAACTCTTAAGGGATCCCTTAGCTAAGGAAGTGATGTGAATACAGCCCTTAACCCCATTGTATGTAGCCCATGTTGTTCCTTATGTATAATAGCCACCAAATTTAACAGCAGTCTCATATGTACATCTCCTTCAGACATGTTGGTTAGTCTAAGTCTGTCAATGAACATTTTGGAGACTCATTTGAGAACATCTTTTGGTACAACCCTACCTCTTTTGATACCATTGCAGTAGGACATTTCCCTGCCCTTTTTTATTGTCAGGCTTGACCCTCGCCTGAGAAAATGGGTTCTTTGCCCTTATTATAACTTGTGAAGCAACAGAGGCTAGCAGTATGTGCAGTTCACAGAACTTACTGCAGTCAGTAGATAAAACTTCTTTTTTTTTTTTAAGTTATCAAACCCAGGGCTTATCTACTATATGGCCATTGACCATCATACTATTTCAGGGTGCTTATGTGGTTTTTGTTCTATGTTTTTGTTCTTCCTACTTTTCATGTTGTATTTTACAAGGATTCAAATGATTTTTCTGATGATTTGAAGAGAGTAGATCATTACATTTTTGCAGATACTACCTTAAGTGCTAAAAAAGTAATAAAAATGAGGCAGAGTAATGCAGTACTACAATACCTGTAGTACTGTAGTACAGTATTAATGTAGTACTGTAATACTGTATAGTGCCTCACCTGCTCTGGACAAGTCCCTAGACCCCTATACTCCCTACCATTTTGAATGCCAAATTAAGGAGGTTCCTTTACCCTTTGCTCCAATACTCATGGCTGAGAAATTCTTTATTTTATGTTTATTCATTCATTCATTTTCATTTCTGCTCTTCCCAAATGAATGGAGTCATGTCTCAAGCAGGCCCAGGAGCTTCCAATGTTGTTGATCCTACACAACAGAGGATCTGATTCTCTAGTGACTTAGCTTCACTATTTAGCCTGTCCATCTTGCACCAGGCCTACTGGTTGGCAGGGCCGTTTCTAGGCGTGTTGGCGCCCAGGGCAAGAAATTCCAATGGCGCCCCCCCTCCCCCCCTTTACCCCTCCGGTGCCCCCCTCCCCCTTTACCCTGGTGTCCGGGACTGGTGTCCCGGGTGATCGCCCGCTTCGCCCGCCCCTAGAAATGGCCCTGATGGTTGGTCTACTGTCTGTTATTTTGGACAGGGAGACCCTTTCTTCAGTATCTCAGGGGGAAGATGTGCCAGATTAGTCCAAGTCAACAGGCTTCAGGTCTTTTGACCGTCTCATGATTGATGACATTCCATATCCTCTCATGACTTTCAACACCTGCCACCTGTTGCAAGAACCTAATTTGAGCAGCTTGCATCTCTGACCTGATTCTTTTTTGTGATTACCCATAGTTTTTGGCCATAGGTGAGAGTGTGGAAGCAAATCCTCCTAAAGCAGAAAGTTGTGCATCCTTGGAAATGAAAGATTTGACAACAGTGGTTGCCAAAGTTCTTGCAAAATGAGACTCCTTGGAGATGTGAAAAAAAAAACAAACAAACAAAAAATAGGGATATTCTTACCCTCCTAAATTTGTAAGAAATAGCATATTCACTCTATTGTCATACATGCAATGATTGGAATTATCAAAGTTCTGGGTTTTTGACTGTGCTTGATCAAAGAGTTTATGGCAGATGGTGTTAACTTGCCATGCATTGAGAAGAAGGGCTGAAGAGCCTATAACAGCTCCTTCCATTTGTGGGTTGAGACAACACTTTCTATTAGTTTCTTCATCAGATCAGTTGTTTTGCTTGTGTTGCTTGCCAATTGCATTTTCCCAGTAAGAGTATGGCAAAAAATACCCAGGAAAATGTATCATGATATTTGAGCCTAGGCATGGACCAGAAGCCATGCATTCCAGGTGAAGGAAATGTTGGAAGAAACCTCTTCCAGTGTTTTTCACTTGACCTGGACCATTTTTCAGTTGAGACCCTCCTGTATGAGAAACATCTTATGCATGAGTGTCTGAGTCAAGTGAAAAATTGACTGAATCAAGTAAAAAACAGTGTATGACCCCAAAGGTGGAGGGGTGGAAAGTAAACCTTTAAGAGTAATGGTCTCTTTCTGGAGCCTGATGGCTTTGCTCCAGAATGCCACAATGTGAATGTGGGAGATTTTTTTTTCTCCTGTGGTGGCAGCACAGAAGAAATATCAAGCCCAGACCTTTAACAGATGGAGTCCACACTTGCAGAATTCTTTTTGTTACCAAGGTCCTTTCCTCAGTTGAGGAAATAAATCACATTTCTGGATGGAGCTTTAGATCCATCACAAGCCAACAATTTTCAATTCACTCTTCCAGGTCCTCCGCACTGTTCATGCCTTCCTCACTAAGTTGATGGGGATGTTCCCAACTGAATCTGTGTCATCTCATGTTGCTTCTAAATATGAAGAACTGGAGGCCCTCTATGCTTCAGTAGGAAAGGTGAAGGAAAATGTTACCTATCTCTTACTTTAGAATTGTTGCTTGTAAAAATCTGATTGGAATTATCCCTCCTTGTGCAGATCATCTATGAAGGGTTGACAACATATGAGAAAATGTTGGGAGCCAGTCCAAACTCTCTCTATGGGACACTTATGATCCTCAAAGCTGCTTGCACTAATAATCCATGTTACATTGATCGTCTCATCACTTCATTCATGCGAGTTTTGCAAAGGCTGAATCGAGAGCACCTTGTTGCTGCTTCTTCCTCAGCTGCTACTGATTCCAATCCAGGTATGGTGAATGAGTATAGTGGCAGATGCTTTTGCTCATAGAAACCACAGCCTTCAATTTTCATTAATGGGGGAGGAATAACTTCAGAAATTGATGTCACAAAATTATTTTATTATGGACTGGGCTATCTATTAAAGTTCTACATGCTTGCTGCAACAGCTTCCTTCTCATCCCTTTGAATCTATTCATAAGTGAAATGGAAATGTTAATGAATAGCAATATCATCAAACATCATTTGCATCTGACATTTTACCTTAGGGCTCTGTGATACCCTGTGATGAAAGGGTACCCTGGTGATGTTCCTTACCATCCAAAGAATCTGTCCAAAATTTATTGGGCACTCAAGGTCAATTCATGAGGGGCAGGATTAATTTGCTTGGTCAAAACTACTATAGAGCCCATTATAGAGTAAACTTTTCACTGACTGCTTTTTTTAGAGGTCACACAAATTTGATATCAAATTAATGCCTAGAGATTTACACATATGGGCAGTGTCAGAACAGAATTTTGATTACAAAATTCATGCTTGAAATATTTAACCTAAGATTCATGAAAATTGTCTCAAATCCCAAAATCCCTCACAATGAAAAAAATTTATTACTTTTAAACAAAGCTAATGGAAACATATTTTTTGGTCAGCTGCATGTGTTTTCATGATTGTTGACATGAAAAGAAAGATTCAGAACACTATGCAGATCTACTAACAGCACTACTGTCACTGCTGATACATGACTGTAAACTCTTGCCTGTAAACCCAAGCCATGTGATTTTGCCAATTGCCTGGTGCCAAATGTTGGCTCAAATTTAAGGAAGATACTCTATTAGAAGACCAGCAATTGTAGGATCCAAGTCCCTCCCTCCCAATGTAAGTGACATTCCCACAAATCTAGAAACGTAATGAATTGTTTATAAGTGCAAGTTCAGAGGATTATTTTATGCTCACCCACCTCAGGTTATTACAGCTTCAATTCACCCTAAGATATATTGCTATAATTGGTGATTGGGTGCCAAAATTGAGAGAAGTTGAGCAACATAGCAAGTTTTTGTATGTTTGAAAGCAATTTTTGCTTACCCATTTTGCTCGAAGAACTTTTCTCATGTAATTATCACTGGTTATTATGATGTGTCTGTTTGGTGCAGTGATCAGATTAGACTGTCTTAGTTACCTAAAGAGGGGGTTTGTGACCCTTCTCTCTCAAATATTCCCGTCAACATTGACTTGTGCTGAAATATAACCATACTTTCTTGTATTCCATGCTCTATAAAAACAATAAACATCTCCCCAGCATTAATTTTTCTCAGATTTTCAGAGATCAAATAGGAAGACTTTGACAAAGAGTGAGAGAGAGGAGATGCTTGAGCTGGCAAAGATAGGTAGAGATAGGCTACCAAAAAAGCTTGTAATCCCTCAATCCTTACTTCACGAACTTCCTGTCAAGTGACATTTTAGATCTGACCCAAAGTAATCACAATAGGCAGCAGCAACTATAATATCAGTTGTTTTTTTAATGTCTAGCAATGTGGTAAAGTACTGATAATGATATTGGATGTCAAACTTTGATTTTCCAATAAGCAATAAATAGAAAATCGAATTCTTCTTCTCATGACAAGCTGTTGTGCCAGTTGTAATTATCAAGGCATATGAACACATCTTGGGACTGTTTAGTTCTCTCACATTTTCAGTTTGTCTCCATTTAACTTAAGTGCCTCTTTCAAATGTAGATTACTTGTATTTTTAGTGTGCTCCAGTTCAGTTTATCTTCATTTTAGGATATACCTATTAACTGGAGGTAGACTGAAACTGGACCACAACTAAACTGAAATGACAATTTAACTGAATGGTATGAAATCATGGTTAGCTATTTGTTCCCTTTTTGTCAACAATGTGCTGCACCGTACCTCTTTCATTTACTTATCTTCTAATTTTGAATTTTTCTCTTAGTGGGTACAGAGTTGCTGATAGTGAGCTTGGACCTGGTGAAGAGGCGGATTGGTGTCTTGGGGGTGGAAATGAGAAAAGCTTTCATTGGCTCTGTGTTGGTGGGCCTCATTGAAAAAAGCCCTGAGCCAAAAGTCCTCAAGGCTATCACCAAGGTCTCTCATTCCTCAGGATGATTTTATCCTACTTTCATTCTGTCATTCTCATGATTGAGATGGGTGTTGATCCAGATGGTTGAGGAGTGGCTGGAAAACAAAAGCCCTCAGGCAGTGAACCAGGGACCAAGCCTACGGGAGAAGTCTATTCTCCTCAGCCGATTGATGCAGCAGGTTGAAAGACGCTTCCCTGCTGACACTCAGCTCCAAGTCCAGTTTCTCACTATGGTTCTCCAAATCTATAAGTAATGTGGCATCCTCATCTCATGATTTATTCATTCTTAGCATTCATGACATGTTTCATTGATCATTCCCCACAGAGATGAGAGTCTGAAGGGATCTGAGGTGACTGCAAAACTTGAACAGGCCTTTCTTGCTGGCTTGAGATGCTCTCAGCCACAGCTCAGGATGGAATTCTTTCAAGTAAAGATATGGCTCCATACCCTTGCCTGACCAGAATTCATGTGATGCTCCATGTGATGATTTTGTTACAGGTATTTGATGGGAGCATGAAGAAACGCCTCTGTGATCGGCTCCTTTATATAATTTTCTCCCAGAACTGGGAGCAGATGGGACCCCATTACTGGATTCAACAGTGCCTGGAACTGCTCCTAGCTACTGCCATATCAGGTAGATTTTCTCACATCATAATTATTATCTCAATATTGCAATTTAATTTCATGAGTTTCTTCATGACTTCATTCAGATCGAGACCTGGAGTTGGCACGGGAGAAGACATCTGTATTCCCTTCTTTTCAACAGATGGTTGATCCCATTGAATCTTTGTCTACTTTTCCCGGCTCAATGAATGAAGAATCAGCTGAGGTTCTTTCCAAGTTAAATTATTCTATTACAAAATGGAGACATAATGCCCTTGAAATAAGCCTACTCTGAGTTTGCCCTTTCTTTTCTATTAGCAAGGAATTTTTTATGGCAGGTTTTACACTCAACTGAGCAAAAAAAATTTGGGGACCAAAGGATATAAAGTTGAAAGGAAGTGAGTTCTGGTTAATGCTACACTTTGGAATCTTTCTCCAATATTCATTTTTTACTTTTTTTTTCTATTCTATTTATATCATATAGGAGAACTTACTTTTCTCTCCATAAATCTCTTGATCTGTTTATCAGGACTTAGTGCATTTCATTGGATAGAGCCTCTCTTATTCCCTTAGGGAGAAGACCTGGCCAAATTGATAGCATCAGAGAAGAAATTCCTTTCTGAAGGAGCTTGTGGGTTGAGACTGGGGACTTTCTTGCATGCTGTTGCTCAACTTGGTCACCTGGAAGCACCCTTGGCTGAGCACTTATGGCTTGCTCTCTTTCCTCGAGTGTGGAAGGCTCTTACTGAGAGGCAGCAACAGGTTTCCCATCCCTCCTGTTTCTTCTTCCTCCTTTCTAGAGTGCAGTATTCGTAGGAAGACATTGACTGATGAAATGTTTGTTGTTTTTACAGACATTGGCAGGAGAGATGGTTCCTTTCCTCTGCTCAGGTGCTCATGTACTCCAGAAGGAATGTCAGCCATCTCCTCTAAACACATTCATGGAAGCCCTGGCTAACTGCACTCCTGGAATCCCTATTAAACCGTGAGGCTCTCCATATGTCCCTTCTTCAAAATTCAAAATGACAAATAGATCATTAGGATTTAATGATTGTACCATTTTTCAGGTGCCTTTTGAGGTACTTGGGTAAAGCACACAACCTGTGGCATCGTGCAACTCTCATGCTTGAGCAGGTGGCTTTTGAATATAGCTCTCTGAACTTGGTGAAGTCACAGAGGGAAGCAGCTGCTGACTGCTATGAGTTTGAGCCCGTCCCCACAGTAAACTCAACAGCAAGTGTGAGTTCACAGATGAGTTTGTGATCATGCTGTTTGATTCTCTACATAGATGAGAGGAGGAGGGGGGGAAGTTATCTGGCTTTGAAGCATTTTTCTTTCAATTTTTTCAGGAAGCAGTGGAGGCACTGGCTGAAATGTATTCCTTACTGAAAGAGGAAGACATGTGGGCTGCATTGTGGCAGCGTCACAAAGCTAAATATGCAGAGACTGGAATATCCTTGGCATATGCACAGCAAGGTTATTTTGATCAGGCACAGGGAGCAGTGGAGCTAGCCATGACAAAGGGGAGACAGGATCATACATCCTCTCCTGCCCCCTATGCATTACAGGCTGAATACCGGCTCTGGGAAGACTTTTGGATACGATGTAGTCAGGAATTGAATCAATGGGAAACCATTGTGGAATATGGATCCACAATTGGAAATCCTTGGCTCATTCTGGATGGCATCTGGAGGAGTACTGCCCCAAATTGGACTCAGATGAAGGAAGCTTTGTCCCAGGTGGAACAGGCATGTCCTAAGGACCTTGCTTGGAAGGTTAGATATCTATTTTAACCTCTCTCTCTTCCCTGCTGACACTCAGCTCCAAGTCCAGTTTCTCACTATGGTTCTCCAAATCTATAAGTAATGTGGCATCCTCATATGCATGATACATTGAACAAAGCCTGGTCTTACTGGGGTGATTATTTGGAGGCTTTATTCCATTTAGGTGAACCTTTATCGAGGATATTTGGCAATCTCACACCCTGAGGATCAGCACCTGAACATAGTTGATAGACTTGTGGAAGTATCTTCAGCTATGTGTATTCGAGAGTGGAAGAGACTGCCATCTCTCATTTCACATATTCATATCCCTATCTTGCAAGCTGCCCAACAGGTTTGGAATTCAAATTCATGAAAGAATTGCAGTAAACAGATAAGGCACAGACAAAAGCACTTGTGCCCTTGAAGATCTATTTTGGTTTATGTATTTGGTTTCTAGATGTTACTCTTTTTCTTATGCAAGCCTTGCTATTTTAACCTTTATCCTTGCATTCCTACAGTACCTGCATACTTCATATATATTTACTGGATCAGTGCTAAAATTTATTGTATGTGTTTCATAGGTCATAGAACTGCAAGAAGCAGCTCAGATTCACCAGAGCCTTTTGCATGGAAGAGGGGGTGGAAGTGTAGGATCCAATTTGGGACCTGGGGCCCATGCAGGAGCTACAACAGGCCCTGGGATAGGAGCAGGAGCAGGTGCAACAACAACTACTTCTGCCTCAGCCCTTCATGACATGAAGGCCATTGTGAAGACATGGAGGAATCGACTCCCTGTTGCATGGGACTCTCTTGCACATTGGTCTGACATCCTTGCTTGGAGACATCATCATTACCAGTTTATCATTCAGCATTACAGCAAGGAAGAGCAGGGAAGTAGCCACAGTATGCTAGGGGTGCATGCATCTGCTCAGGGGATCATCCAATTTGGTCGGATGGCCCGAAAGCATCACCTTACTTCAGTCTGCTTGGATGGACTCTCCAGGCTTCATCACATTTCCTCTGTTCCCATTGTGGACTGCTTCCAAAAGATTCGACAGCAGGTCAAGTGCTACCTTCAGATGGGCACTGCCACTGGTCGAAATGACCTCCAGGAGGTTAGATTTCTCAATGAATGGGGTAAAATTGTTATTAGGTCTTGAATCTCTTGACTTCATACTTCCCTCGTGCTATTTTGCAGGGTTTGGAAGTGATTGAATCGACAAATCTCAAGTATTTCAACAAGGAAATGAAGGCAGAGTTCTTTGCCCTCAAAGGAGTCTTCCTCCATCATCTTGGTTTGTCCCTGTCACATGCTCAATTGGTTCTTTTACATAAAATTGCACATTGGAAATGAAATTCATTTCATTTCCCATGTAGGTCGACATGAGGAAGCTAACAAGGCATTCAGTGCAGCTGTGCAGATGCATGATACATTGAACAAAGCCTGGTCTTACTGGGGTGATTATTTGGAGGCTTTATTCCTGAAAGACCCTAGCAACACTATCATGGGAGTGTCAGCCATCACGTGCTTCCTTCATGCTTGTCGTGGACAGCCTGAGATGCGTGCCCGCAAGCATCTTGCCAAGGTCTCTTATGCCTTCCTTGAATTTAATTTCCCGAGACGATCTCATGTTCGCATAATTCAGTTTTTTTATGATTAGGTACTTTGGATCCTGACATATGATGATGACAGTCATCAGTTGAGTGAAGCATTTGAGAGGTATGGTGGGGGAGTTGCTCCTCTGGTATGGCTTCCCTGGATCCCCCAGCTGGTCTCTGCCCTCCTTCGACCTGAAGCTCGATACCTTTGTAATCTCCTTATTCAGGTAGGCTTTTTCCTTGCTGTATCTTCTGATGGCATTGAATTAGAAGGCAGAAAAAATGGGCTGTTTGTTAACAAATGTTGATCATTTGCTTTCGTTGGTACTAGAAACCTAATCAAGCCTAATTTTCCTCTTGGATCATAATAAACTCAATAACTTGACATATATTTTGCGTGTTCTAGGTTCTACAAATGATTATCCCTTCCAACAAATTGGCAAATATTGTACAGATATTGCAAACAAAGAAGACTTTTTAATTTCTATATCTCTAGTTCCTCTGAAGCTGTTTTCATAATACTTGCATTGTGCATAGATTGACATTATCCAAACATATCTTCAAAATTTAATGTAAATTTTCTGCCAGAGCAAGCTATATTTTGGAAGAAATCAGTAATAGAAAATGGTTACACGACAGCAGAGAAATCAGGAAGCAAAGGAGTTGGGCATCTGTGCAATCTGTGCAATAGGTCATAAGTATAACATCAAGGAAAGCTGTATATGGAAGGGGGGCGATCTAGGTGAAGGTGAAATTATGCCAGTCACTTAAGAATCTCATGGTCTTTTGTGGGGAAAAAGGGATCATTTCTGGTAATCAAGAAGGAAGTGGCCAAATATGAAAAAGAGTAAGTCCGTACTTCTGTAATAAAATCCTCCATGAAGCATATCGTTTAAACATTTTGCTTCATTCTGACACTGTTTGCCAGTTTTTGGTCTCGAAAGGATGGTCTCTGTGCAAAACTAGCATGATCTAGACGCAAACCTGTACAAGGTTTGCAAGAGCAAACGGGATCTCCCATAGAAAATTCAATGCATCATGAGGATGAATGGTGCAATTTGTGAAGCAAGTTGGATTTTCTCTTCATTAGAAAACCTCTGGCTCAAAAATTTCCATGAGAAATTATTGTCTCTGGAACGGCCCCTTGGAGGAGGATGAGAGCTCCACAAATGAATTTTCCCTGTTGCCAGACATCTCAGATTCCAGTACTGAATGAAGTCTGTGGATTGACATAGTCATTCCCTGTTTACTGTTTTATTAGTATAATATTATATTTCCCCTGTTTTGACACTACAGACACTGTTCCCGCCTCAATAAGTGACCAATGAGTTATAGGTATGCTAAAAAAAAAAAAAATTGGCTAAGAGGAATTTTTCCCCTGAGTATAAGATGCACCATTAAACACAATAAAATATGCATTTAAAAATGTGCCTTATATATGAGTAAATACGGTATAAGTGTTCTGGATGCTCTTGCAACCACAATGCAAAGGCATTCCCATTGCTTCACCATCAGCTTAAGCTCTTGTCCATTTTCAGTGTCCAACTTCTTTTGGGTATTGCTAACTGTCTTTCTTTGACACCATGAATATGTATGAAAAGAATAGACCAGTGACTTTTAACCTCTAGATCTCTACTCCAACTGGAGCTGATTTTCATGAAACTTGCTCTATGCAAAGATGGATGTATTTTTATCTGGTCACTACGTTGGTGCAAGTTTTATCCGCTGTCCCTTTCTCCCCTCCCTACCTTCCTGTATTTTGCATGTTTGCTGATCTCATTTTAGTTGAAGAAAATTTTCATCCTGAGGTTTGTACAACATTTCAGAAATGCTAGATTTAGAGAAGGGCAATCATAAATTCCAGGGCCTTTATAAAATACACCAGGCTCTTGTATAAACAAATATGCTCTGTTGCAGATTGCTATAATTGTCATTCCTGCACAGGAAGAATTGGCCCTATAATACCATTCTATAATAATGAGTTAAAATGAAAATAAAATATAATGGGGTCTTATTTAATAAATATGCAAAGGTGGGGCGAGTCTATCCACAAGCAGTGTACTTCCCCCTTCGGACATTATTCCTCACCCTCAAGATGGAGATAGCTGATCACAGCAAGAATGCATCTTCTGATCAGTCTGCTAATGACAGTGGCAGTGCTGCCAGTTCAACCCCCTCCACTCCTGCAAGCACAGGTTGGCATACATATCATTTGAAAACAAATCTCTTTCTCTGTGGAGGATGTGATGACAGTTTCAAAATTGTTTTTGATGGAGGGGGAGCAATAGGAGGAAGTGGGGGTGGAGCAGGAGGCAGTGAAGGAGCTGGCACAGGAACAGGAAGTGTGAAACCTAACAGCAGCATGTGGCTCTGTTCTCACATAATGAGGCGAGAACGGGAAATGCATCCCACTATACTCTCTACTCTTGAAGGCTTTGTTGAACAGGTAAGTCCTAATTTCCTTTCAGTCATTTCTTTTTTCATTATGAATACAAGAAAAAAGTTCAGTGTCTAATGTTTCTCTCTTTCTTTGCCTGCTTTAGATGAACTGGTTTCGGGAGAACTGGTACGAGGATGTCCTACGTCGCATGAAGAGGGCCCTCATGTTGGCTTATGCAGCTGCCTTTGAGACTCGCTCCCAGGTTGCTAAGGCTGGAATCTCCCCAGATCTTCTTGCCTTCGTCTCCAAAGTTGTTGAAACCTTTGGCAAGGGACTAGGTAGGTGTATCCTTCCCCTCCCCCAATCTTCAGAAAGGAAGTTTTGTCTTTGATGTACAGATCCCTACCAGAATAAAATGACCACCCATATAATTGCTAAATTTGTTCTTTTCACCCACAATTCTTTGTGACCAGGTCTATGGGCAGAAACATCAATGGGGGGCCATGGTGGGGACGGGATGGACCCTGTATTACAGCGCATGCGAGCCACTTTGGCTGCTGACTTTGAGAAGTCTCAGCTTCCTTCCATGAAACTCCATTCCCTCATACAGAAACTCAAAAAATGGGCCCACATTCTGGAAGCCCGCATCAGACTATACCCCAAGTGAGAAAGAGAATATGAGACTGACAATGTTGCCAGAACTTGACCAGGGAGAGTACATCAGTGACTTTCATTCATTTTTCAGGCAACACTTGATTGAGGAAAAGTCTAGATTCTTGAGCAACTTCAATTCCCACCTGGCTGAAGTAGAACTTCCAGGTGAATTCCTCATGCCAAAGGTAACTTCACCTGTAGTCCTTCATGCATTCAACAGGATACCACTTAACTTTTTTCAGAAACTGCATCTTGTCACTTAATGTAATTTTATTGGATATGGCACACTCTAGTTAATCCAAATGCCATTTACTTAAACATTTGACAAACTCATTGAATTCCAGTAGAACTGACAAAAAAAGGTTTGTGTAAATTGGTATGAAGCCATTGAGCCAATATGCAATGTGTAATTATCCTGATAGAAATCCTATAAAACTGAAGTAAAAGATATTTAGCCAATATGATATTTTTTAAAATGAACCATAACTCCTACCAACAAGAATGAATAATGTGGTCTCTAAGACCATTAATAGGTGAGATCACTTATTAATGTAGAATTTCAATGAGATGGAATGAGACTGCCAGCAAAGATTTCCAGAAGAGAAAAACAGAAAAAGGAGGCCCAAGTTTCGGTCTCTTTCCTTCCCCCTCCTCCCTATCCCTTTATCTCTCATCTGTTTCCAGGAATTCAGATTGAAATAATTTTTTTTTTAAGTTAAACCAATGATCAAGGTGAGGTTCTCCTCCAATAACATGCCAAGGAGAAACAAATGCATTGTTGTGAATTACATGCCCCACTCTTCTCTTCTGCAACTAACAAGGGGCAATAAATATAAAGGTTGGTTTATGGAGGATGACTTGGATACTCTGCACTTCCCTATTCCCATTTTAAACTCAACATTTAATGTTTTCCAAAATCATACATTGCTATCATAACATCATAATTCCACATTTTCCCACAACCTGTTCATAAATTCAATAAGAGGAAAGGGAGAAGGAAACCCTTAAAATTCAGGAAGACAGGTCCTTAATTGAGGAGGTCTCTGGGAAAAGTACTCATGCATCCTTTTTCCATATCCACATCCTTTTGCTTCTTAAAGTGACTTGTCTTAGGATAGGGTGGTCAGCATGTGGGTAAGATGCATATTCAGTAAAGGAAAAGCTAATTTCCTTATGCTCTCACTATTTTTTGACAAATTATTCTTTTAACTGGAAAGAAGAGGTGAAAGACTGGTTGGAATAAGTTGCAGCAATGTGGATATGGAAAAGGGCATATGTGCATGAACACTTCCTGCTTGCATTCCAGCAATGTGAGATGAAGAAATTCATTAAACTGCCAAGTTCACTTGGAATAGGGTCTAAGATATCAATTGACTGAAAACTGAGTTTTGACCTGCTTCAGATTGGCTTGGTTTTTACCACTTCTCAAATTTAATCTTTTGCACATATGCCCTTTTTCTAGAGAACTCCTCTATTGCATTTGAATCATACTGTGGGGGAAGAGAGCTAGATAGAGCATTGTTGCATGTTGCACTAGCTGCCACATTACCACTTCCACCAGGAATCTACCAGTATTGCATCTGGATCACCTATGGCCCACTGCCTTTGTGCTACTTGGGTTGCTGTTGGGACAGTAAGGGGAGGTCTTAAGGTTCTTTTGGCACCATGTACTCTTCAGCCTCATCCAGGCTGGATGCAAATGGGAGCAAATATGGAAAATCATGAAGAGAACTGAAAATGAACCAAGCATTAGTACCTTGATGTGTTTTTTAAGGGGATTGCTAGCTCAACTCACCTGTTAGCAAGTCTCCTTTCACTTGCATACATAAGATTAGTCATTTGATCATTGACAATAGTGCTTATGAGTTGCTAACATGCAAAGTCAAAAGTTACCATGAAAATGAACACTGCCTTTTACTGTTCCTGCTAGTGCTGTGCTATTGGGAGACAGCATCAAGATAAGTTGATCTCTTATATAGGCTGATACTGTCAATATTTTTGCTCGGCAGTGGAGTCACATTTGCAATTTTACTTTTACCAAGTTACAGTATTAACTCCATCATGGCGTGCCACTGTGTCTAAGTCCTACCCCCGCTTTTGAGGTCCTAATTTGTGTATGAAAAAAAAAAAAGATTCCCCATGTATTAGGCACACTCCCCTATTTTGTAGCGAAGTGTCGGACAAGGGAGATGAATAAGGGGTAAAGCTGGTCTTGAGGTAGGTCGAACCTCATTTCTTATTCACTGTCCTGACCTTTATTGAGGAGGGGCACAGTATCCCTAATGTTTGTTTTATTATCTATGAAAATGGATGGAAATGTGTGTTGAAGTTACACAGTTGCAGAGAAATCCATATGATTCAGGAAGTGAAGGAGTTTGGCATCCATGCAATAGGTCGTAAGTATAACATTGAAGAAAGCTTTATATGGAAGCAGTTGGAGGTGAAGGCAAAATTGAGCTGGGCACTTAAGAATCTCATGGCCTTTCATGGGGAAAAAGGAATCATTTCCGGTAATCAAGAAGGAAGTGGCCAAGGGTGATCGAGACGTGAACTCATATGATTGCAAGAGCAAATGAGATTTCCCATTGAAAATTCAATGCATCATGAGGATGAATGGTGTGATTCATGAAGTGAGTTGGATTTTCTCTTCATTGGGAAACCGCAGCAGCTCAAAAATTTCCATGAGAAATTATTGTCTCTGGAATGGCTCCTCAGAGGAGGATGAGAGTTCTGTGAATCAATTTTCCACACTGCTAGACAACTCAGATTCCGATTCTGATACCGAATGAAGTCTGTGAATCGACATAGCCACTCCCTGTTTCCTGCTTTATTATATTTCCCCTGTTCTGACTGACTGCAGACACTGTTTCTGCTTCAATAAGTGACCAATGATTTATAGATATGCAGGACAATTTTTTTCTTGAAAAAGATCATTTTTTTCCTTGAATAGAAGATGCACCCCCTCATCAAACACAATAAAATATGTATTAAAAAAAGGTGCGCTTTATACACAAGTAAATATGGTATGTTTCCCACTTCCAGTGGTATTTTTTAGAGGATGAAAGCTAAGTGGCAAGTAACCCTCTCACTGGAGATAAGATGACAAATTCCTATCCTGAGAAAAATGTGATAGATTTCTGCCAAATGACATTTTCTTTCCTTCCTTTAGAATAGCTTTCTTCAGCTGATTCATTGGCAGAAGAAAAGTCAAGTAATTGATCAAACATTCTTTAGTCAGCCTAAGTTTTTTAGCACTTTCACTGCCATACAACCTTCCAGCAAGTTGTATATTCTCTCTTCCACTGGGTCATAGGACCTGCCAGTGGGTCATACGGTTCTCTTCTACTGAATCGTATGGGTTATTAGCATTGTTTTGCTCAATATAGTCCAGAATTTTGTGGGCTCTACCTCTTTCTATCTTTTGAATTTTATTGTTACCTCTTGATGAGGTCAACAAAAAATGTTGGCAATGTTTCTTGTCTCCTGTTTCTTTAAAAGTAAATATTCAAGATGAAATTGTGCATGAAGGTAAGATGGAAATTACTTCTTCCACATTTTTCACATTTAGGGCCTATATTAGCATCCAAAAGAAATGTTACAAAGTAATTTAGAGCTCGCTCACATAGTAGAAATTGTGATAGCAGTATATCTGCCCTTTGCTAAACAAGTCACTGCTGGTTGAACTTCATAAGTATGTGCTTGCTAACCTTTGAGTGCTGTGCACATGCTGCATCAGCAAAATGCCTAATTAGGTTTTCTCCATGCCATATGAAAGTTCAGATTTCCATGGACAAAAAATGGGCTAATTCCACTGTGCATGTCATACAGTTCCTGAAAAAATCAGAGATATGCCAAGGCTAATGCAGCAACTAAGGAATGGGGCAACCAAAATGCTCTAAGAAGGTGTAATGCAACCTGCATTGCACATCTTGGACCTTCCTGGAACAAGCTGCAGAACACTTGACCTTGAGAAATGTAGTGATTTTCAAAATTAAGTATTCTGCCAGTTTTGATTGAAGTGTTGATTCAATCTCATTCAGGTCACATGAGCTCATCCAAGTCACCACACAACTTCCTGTTGTGTTGTTGCCCCCTCCTGGAGCATTTTCATTGCCCCATCCCTTGCTGCATTAGTTTTGGCATACCTCTGATATTTTTTGGATATGGGATGGCATGCACAATGAAGTCAGCCCATTTTTTGTTCATGGAAATGTGAATTTGACATATAGCACAGAGAAAACCTAATTAGGCATTTTCCTGATGTGGCATGTGCTGAGCACTTTAAGGTCAGTGAGTAAATGCTAATAATGTTTAAGCTGTGCTGTTCAGCAAAAGACAGATATAATGCTATCACAACTCCTACAATGCATGCGAGCCCTAATATATCTTGTAACATTTCTTTTGGACATCAGTATAAACAACATAAAAATGATAATGCAGAAACATATGGAGGCTTCAAATGCAGTTGCTTATGAACATGGACATCTCAAAGATTTCTAGGATTAGATTTCATATGAGCAAATTATGTGCAGAAGTTAAGTTTCAGTATGATCTCCTTTGAAGTACAAGGATGGGCAGAAAAAAGAAGTAGGAAAAGTAAACCACTCCAAATTTTGCTACATAATCCATATTTTTAAATGGATTGCCTTGAAAATTTAATTAAATGTTTCCTGATATGTTTCCCTTGAACTTTTGAAATTTATTGCACTTGTGGATATCTATGCATGAGTTATGGCATATTTTGCAGAAATGGTAAAAAAAAAAGGCAAGTACAGGTATAAGATTGCTGTTATTAGGCACAAATATGCATTTGCATGAGAATGCTTCAAAATGCTTGCACATGCATGAAATTTTCAGATGGTTAGGAACACACATTTGAGTCCTATTAAGTTTTTGCAAGGATTGGTACAGAGGAACCAATTCTTTTTTAAAAATCAAATGTGGATTTGTGTCCCACAATGACAGTCACATGCCTGTTCACTCAGATATTTGACCATTTCAACAAAATCTGCTCAAGAGTGGGTGACCAAGGATGTAAGAAACTTAAAATAGCTCTTGATGAACATTGTTGACAATGCTTCTTTAGATTTTCAAGCCTATTAGTCCAAAAAAATTGAGTTTATAGCAAAATTTTTAGTTGTTTACTCATTTTTGGTTGAATCGTTGGTTGCAGCAGACTGGAAGGTGTCTATATTGTAGAAGTGGTGGTCTTTCAGCAGGAGTATCAGTCCGGAAAAGAGCTTCAAATAGCAAGGTGTGAGGTCTAATGGGTACAGAGGATTTTAGAGCTTTCACTCTGCAATTGGTACTGATTGATTGCTCTCAGTCACATCAGTCAGGAAGCTTAAAAGGCCTCCAAAGTTTACTTATTACGCCTGTTGATGGCTGTCCACTGCGTTCATCATCTCCAATAAATTCCCACCCATTGTGAAATAGTCTGTGCCACTCATGCATGAGAATTAGGAGGACTCTCTTGGCCTCAGAGAAATGATCACCAAAGAGTGGCATGGCTGTCTATGTGTTAATTAGTTACTCCTACAAAACACATAAAAAAGGACTTCGCTGGTACTCCCCCCAAAAATTGTATCCTTCAAACAAGGTTTTCCTGAATTCATGCACTCCACCAATTTTCCTCCTTTCTGTCAAGTGACTCATGTTTACCTTTGTCATCTCTGCTTATGTGTTTAATGAGAGCACATGCTTTTGTCTGTCTCTTGCAATCCTTCTCTTTTTAATACTCTGCCTGTAAGAAGGTAAGGTTTCCCAGAACTTGGTTTGATACTGTTATAAAAGGTATCTTTCCTGCTAAAGATATGACACTGTTATCCAGCCATGAAACATGAGTAAAATAAGCCTAACAAGCACATATTGCAACATATCATTTATATACTGTATATTTCAAAATTAGGAAGCCCAGAGGGAAGTTGCCATTTTCCTTTCCTTATTCTGTAAAGCCACTTTTCCTCCCATTCCTCTGACATTCAACAAGTTTTTTCTGTATTGCCTTGTCCTGTGACCATGAAACTTTCCTCAATTCTTAGATACCAATAGGAGTTCCTATTTAACATATCACTTGCAAACTATTTATGGATAGGGCAATTAGTAGGAGCATCTGCTTTTTACATGTGAATATTTATTAAGCTATCTCTTTGAACAATAAACCTGGGCCTTTGACTATTTGATCAATTTCCTTCCACACTATTAAGAGTTCATGTACCAAATTTCGTAAGTCCTCCTTCTTGGTGTTGCAATTTCAATTGCCAATGTGTATGATCTGAATTATAAAAATGCTATACCATAAATTATTATTTGCTATGAAGTTTTGCTCTTATGTACATTGAAGGTGTTTTTTTGCTAATGTATTTAACAGTAGTTCACCATATAAATAACACAATGCCTAACAGTGCAGCCCATCCATCATTATTATTCCCTTGTAGCATTCCCACTATTATGTGCGGATAGCAAGATTCCTACCACGTGTGGATGCTGTGGAGAAGTACAATACCTGCTCCAGGAGGCTTTACATCCGAGGCCATAATGGATCCCTATATACATATCTGGTGATAACTGATTCCATTGCTGGTGAGGCAAGAAGTGAGGAGAGAGTCCTCCAGCTTCTCCGGTTCCTCAACACTCCTCTGAACAAGCACAAGGTTTCTTTTTCTCCTCTTTCATTACTTTTTTTTTAAGTCTGAATGTTTGTTTTCCTTTAATTTGTTGTTTGTGGATGTGATATCACAGGAGACAGCAAGGCGTCTCCTTGGCTTCACAGTCCCAAAAGTGGTAGGCGTGTCACCACATATGCGCTTGGTGGAAGACAATGTGTCCTCTGTCTCTCTGTTAGATGTATTTAAGGCCACTTGCACTGAGCTCCCTGATGCTCCCATTGCTAAGTACTATGACCGTCTTGCTGCTGTCCAGGTGGGCTTAATTATGGTCATTATCTTTGGAGCAAGAAAGTAGTGCTCTGCTGTGATGGAATGTGCTGTTATGCAGGGAAGAGGGATGGGGATCACACATCAGATGTTGCTTGAGGTCTTGAAGGAAGTCCAAAAGACTCAGGTACCCAAGACATTGCTGCGAGACTGGACCTTTCGTACTTACCCCAACCCAACTCATCTGTGGATGTTCCGCAAGACAGTACGTCCCATCATTTCTTGTTGTCCCGAGGCAGTTAGCAACAAGTGACTTTAGATTGGTTGATTTAGATGTGCAGCACTGTATGTCTACCACTGTCACTCCCATTCAGGTGGCATCACAGTTGAGCCTAATGTGCCTTGTTGAATATGGACTTCACCTGACTCGACTCTATCCAGAGATGCTCTATGTGCATCGAGACTCTGGTCTCCTCACTGCTTCCTACTTCAAGTTTGATCTCAATCCTGCCACTGGCAAGTATTCTTCCCTACCATCCATCCCCTCCTTACTTTTGGTTGAAGTAGTTCAGATTTTTGTCATCTCAACATTGCAGGTGAGTTGGATGGGAATGGGCCTGTGCCATTCCGTCTGACTCCAAATCTGGTGGAGCTCGTGACTGGAGTGGGAGTAGTGGGTCCCTTGACTGCATCCATGATTGCTGCTGCTCGTGCCTTTGCCTTTCCAAACAACAAAATCCCTGCCATCTTGAGAGCCATTCTTCGTGACGAACTCTTCCTTTGGTTGCGCAAGGTTGTAGTGATTCCATGAATTCTTTTGTCTCTTTCTCTCAGTCTCTCCTGTCACAGCCTTGGCTTATGTTAATCCTGATCATGGGTTGGCTTTGGCAGCGAGATGGAGGAGGGGGAGGAAGAGGAGAGGAGGAAGGATCAGTGTATGGCAGGGAACGGGAAGCTGAGCAGCTGGTGAATCTGGTCAGCAAATGTGTGACAAACATCTCTACTCGCATCCACAGTCTCTCCACCTTTGATGGCTTGGATTCCAAGGTCTTCTCTCTTCTTTTCTATCCATTCTCTACAGAGTATCATGGCATATCCATCTAAACATGAATTGAAAATCAAGTGATCATATTCAGCTGGCTAGTTACATTGTCTTGCTCATCTCTCTCTCTCTCAATGTACACTAGGTGTTTTATCCTTTGTGTTACACAGGCAAGTACCCTTGTGGCAGCTGGGAGCAGTCCAGACAATCTCTGTCGCATGGATCCCGCCTGGCATCCCTGGCTTTAGCAGAGAAAATCTCCATTCCTCATGCAATTTTTACCTGTATTTTCAGTGAATTCAGTGTTCTTTTCATTAAATCAGCATCCATGGAAAAAGGCATGCTTTATGTGAGATGCAGTGTCATTATTGATGTGGAGATATTCTCATTAGGGTTGTCACAATGCATAGATGTATTGATATTACCATCAATAGTTGAAGATGTAGATGATTTTATCAGTTATCATGATGGTCCTGGCCCTCCCTCTTACTTGCCTACCCTCCCATAATCAAAAGTGGCAAGAAACAATGGAAGACAAACAGTGATGGAAGACTATGGGTGACATGCACCAGATTAGATTAACTTTAAACTGATTCGTTTTCATAATGGGCATCTATGGGAATGAGTTAATCTCTGTTAAACTGATTTCCATAGGGGACCATTGTAAGAAGAGATTAGTTTAACTTAAACAGATTTGGTGCTTGTCACCCCATGAAAAGCATTCACATGGCCCTGACTGATGATCATGGTGAAAAGCAAGACAAGATTATTGTTTACTGGTAGTAACAAGATGTGCCCTTCCCTCCTTCATGGGATTCAGGGGCTGTAAATAATTTATCATATGCATCAATGTTTTCACAACAGCTATTTTGACACTCTTAATTCTTATCATATAGATAGATATGCCCTAGTCTCTACACATGACACCATCCAGATTCTATGGAAAGGTTACCATGGCACTCAATACTTGAAAGACATGCTGATGCAGGAGTCACGCAAATGCAAATGGAGATTAAATAGAAAAGGAGACAATTGTTCCTCTATATCACCTCTATCAATGTGTTAAATTTGATTTTTGTAAGATTTGAAATTAACAAGTTATACCCAAACAGGCTATACATTTCATGCACCCATCATAATTGTGAAAAATCCTCCCTTAAATGTAGAGGGAAAAAAACTCCACAGGGCCTCCTCAATCAGCACCATTGGATGATTTAGTCCCAATCATATATACGGGGTGTACAGTAGGGTGTAGATTTTCTGAATGTCCGTGATTTGACCTATTAGAGTACAAGCCCTGGCACATGTATACCACAGGTCTCATCACTATACTATACTATAACTTGGACATCACTTTGAAACCAGATAATTCCACCCAAATATCATCAGAGAAGCTTCATTGATTCCCAAGATATATAGGAACAGTCTCAGTTATTATACAAACATGTTGCTATGGCAATTGCAGACAGAAATAGTGAAAGGCAGCATCATGGGTTACTTTTTTTGTGGGCCTGCAACTTACGCATTTCTATTCCTCTGAAGCAATCGAAGGCCCCATGTGTAAATACTCCTGCACAATCCAGTGTTTCAAATTTAACACACAAGTGCAATGGGATTAAGTCATATTTTAAATTAGGGCACCATGGGTCTGGGGTATGATGGGTCATCTCCATAATCATTGCTAAAATTAACTTCATTTGACCCAAAGTAATCACACCAAGAAGTCTTTGCACCCCAGAAGGAGAAGCTCTTGAACACTGATGCATTCCACCAAAGTTGCCTAGAAAAATGAAGAACCTTTAATCGAAAAATAATATATGATTCATTTCACATCCAAGAATTTTGCATCTGCTGGTGTTGAACCCTACAGTCTTCTGCTTCTATTTGTGCTTTATTAAATCGGAAAAAGACTGCAAAGGAAATCCTGATCTGTATTGCGAACCATCAGAAAACATTTGGCACACTTAGTTAAGAGCCTTTGTGCCAAAATTGAGTGACCCATCGGGCTCCCAACAGGAGCCATTGAAGTGAAATCAATATTTCAATCAGAGTAAGTTGGGATTGTAGCTCCTACACACAGGCATTGAACTACCTATCTCCCGAATCAAATTCCAGCAAGAATCAAGACATCATCATCAAATGAAATAACTAGCAAAAATCGAGACGTTACTGCCAACAAAAACAAAAAAAGTGTCTTCTACAGAAAAACGTCCACACAATATGCACTACACTTTTTTTTTACACTTTCCTGGCACTTCAGCAGGAAGATATGTAGCATACGACATAAAGAGAAACAGAGCAGGGAGAGCTATAAACAGCCTGACCCATGATACCCCATGACCCATGGTGCTTCACTCTTCCCCAGTCAACTCTCAGTATAGCAAACTCAGATATAATGAAAAACCAGTTTCACCCAAGTTCTTGACATGGACAGGTTGAATGTCCATTGAGTGGTAACTCAATGGACATTCAAATTGTTACAAAATTTGGATATAACAAAATCAGATATTCTGTAAACAAATTTCCAGTATAATGAAGTAATTTCTGACCCCAGACAGAAAGTACACCAGATATAATGAATCTTCCCCCATCTGCCATTTTTCCAAAGGTCACCATGAAAATTGTAGATGAAAAACCATTTTCTTTGATTATCTAAACCCTCCTAAGAGGGTTTAGATAATCTAAATCCTAACCCTTTGATTATCTAAACCCTAACTCCTAAATCTATGAAAATAAACTCTATAAAGAGCAGCATTTCAATTTTCTTTCCAGCCTTGGGTTCACAGGTCACCAAAAAATTATTCCTGTTTTCTTTTTGATTTGCCATCCCCTTAGTGAACTTTCAGGATAACAGCAGATATATGAGCAATAGCAATAACTTTTCTATTTCCTCTATTGCTGTTGGGCTAGAACTTACTGCTTAATTTTTTTATTATTCTCCTGTTCCCAATGTAATACAGTGTAAAAAAAAAATTCATTTTTTGCATTAAAAAAATGAATTTTTTACATGGTATTATAGATAACATTGAAACAACATTGAATCAATGTTGATTCAATTTTATATGAAATTAGGGATCTGTTACAACCAATTAGATTTTGCTCTTCTTTCCCACCTATCACTGGGTTTCACTGGGTTTATATCTCCATGAAGTTGATAGTTTTTTGCCAAATTTGACCATTTGCCAAATATCTCCCAAATGGTGAATTTCATAGGAAGTCAGTCTTGACAAAATTCAAAATTTCTTCTCTGCACTATGGCACCATCTTTGAGCTTTTAGCTTGCAGGTTTTACCTTGATTTTTCACATCCCTCCCCAATTTATGCAATTTTTGTCTCTATTCCATCTGTCTGTAGTTGCCAAAACAACCTAGGTTTGGGAGATAGCTACACATGCTAGGCAGTTACAGGATGTTACTATAACTAAAGAAGCAGTGAAACTTTGTTCTTGATAATTGGGTGTAGCATCATGAAGTCTAAGTTGATGCATGGTGATTACTATGCTTTACTTTAGACATCTACCCATCAGAACATCTACCTGTGGGATGACCTCTGAATGGAAGTCATTTTTTTCAGCACTTATTCCCATCTAGTTTTACTTTCGTTCTTTCAAAACAAATGGAACAGAAGAAACTACTTTGTGTGATACCATTCAATGTAAACAAAACAGCAGACACTTGAAACATGGGAGAAAAGTATAATTACCTTGAAATAGCCTATCTGGTCTCTGTTCTGCTATGGCATCTCTAAAGTTAGGCTTCTGAGTTCTAGGAGGCTTGGACATTATAACAAAATTAGATTTCCAGACACTTACTAATCACTATCAGTAAGTCATTTTACATTATTAAATCACAATTGCCCATTTCCAGCTAAAATGACAATAATGATGTCTGGAAAACACATTCACAGGAATGTGAAGATGCATGGATGTGAAGAACTGACCATCAACAGTTGCACATCCTAATGAATGACTGTGATCTGAGCTCACAAGTGACTCACAGAATGCTATGATGATGACAGACAATTTCCCCTCTTAACACTTTTCATGGGGAATTTTGTGAGATGAATTTAAATATTCTCCAGGATCTTGACATTTCAGTGGGGGCAGTCTGGAAGGTTGAAGGAAAGGATTACTTTGACCTCTTATTCGCTTTGAAGGCCTCATCCACAACAGAAAGTTCTCAATGCTTTGCAAGTCAACTTTGCAACTTCTTTGCAAGTCAACTTGGAAATAAAACTTTTGTGGTTTGGACATCTTTGAAAGTTTTAAATGCAAGATTATCAATGCTCTGGGAGATTTCTTCTAAAGTTTATTGTTGAATATCTTTAATTTGTAACATTCTTTCATTGTCTTTGCAAAATAACAAAAACTTTCTGGTGTGGACTAGGCCAAACAAGTCCTGTCTACAACCCCACCCCCCACATAATCCATCCTACCTTTATGTATGCCAAGTTAATGGCAGGTTCACACCATATGCATAACATAGACCAAAGTCTTATTTACTGTGTGAGCCCTTAACTCTTTGCATAGAGAATCTTATGCCATGGTTGTTTGGTGCAATTGAGACTTAAAGGAAGCTTCTTTGCTCCACTGAGATATATCTGAATGAGGCATATGCACAGTATATCAGATGTCTATGGGTATACGTATAAAAGCTGGATAGTCAGTACAAGATCAGAACCAGGTGGGAGCAGGCAGGGATTGGTTCTACATGCCTCTTGACCCCAAAACATCCTCATTCCAGTCATGGACATGTTTTTAACAAACTTTACTTCTTGCTTTGATTCCGGCTATCCATTGTGTTGAGTTACCTCATTTTTCATGTAACATACAGTGAGATAAGCTCCCTTTCTGATGGTGTAGTTTTCATATTGCAGTTAAGGAGATATTGGAGTAAAAAAAAAAACCTTTTAGACTCAAGAACCTCTCTGTCAAGTATCAGCTGGATCCAACTGTCCCTTGAAAAGTTAAAGTCGAAAAGTTCATTGAATTATGAGTCAGTTAAGCACAGGCAATCACATCAGTTGAGGTGAAACGATCCACCTCTAAGCACCTTTAATTCACCTCTAAATGAACATTGCACGACTTTGGCAGGGGTGCAGAAAAAAAGCTGGCAACCATTTCAACACCTTGTAACTGTCAAAGATTGATCGCATATTGAATTTAATTTTTTTTTGCTACATTTATGAAACTGTTTCTCCCATAGGAAAGAGTAGAGCGTTTTTTTTTTTTTAAACACCCATTATATCCAAATTTGCCCCCTGAAGACTGGGTGACTTCACTGAGTGAAGTGCATCCCTATGCATGGAATTCATGGAATGCTATGGAATTCAACTAGACCTTAAATATTTCTCTAATTCTTCTCTAAGTCAGAGGTGCCTGAATTGCAGCTCACTGGCTGCATTCAGCACACAAAGTGCTTCGGTAAACATCCACTTTGGGCTCCCCTTCTATTAGTTAATTGGAATAAAACTTTTGTTGGATGCTTGAGTGATGACCAGAAATTGGTACTTTTTGGCAGTATTAAAATTTCTGTGCCTAAAAAAGTACTTAGAGAGAGTTGGAATTTGGCATGGATTGCCTCATCAATGATCTTTACTTTTCTATCAAATTTCCTCAAAATTGAAGAGAGTCAGGTCAATTGTAATTTTTTTCTGCATTGACTCATTGAAATGGAATGACTCATAAGTGGCATGTGACATCAAGTATACTGCAAATGATACTATGGGTGTTGCAAAGGTCTTACCAGTGTGCATGTAGCCAAGGAATACTTCCGTAATTTTCATCAGGTATAGTTTGTTTTATCATTTATTTATAGCTCCAATATCATATACTGCTATACCATATCACCATATCGGGCATACAGAGTTTGTATGGTCACACCTTTGGTACTCCATTATCAAGGAAAATGATTATTTCACAAATCATTGGAATATCCTTATTGACCAACCTGGCAAAACTCCTGGGGTCATAGGTATATTTTTTGCTCTGTCAAGTTACTTCATGTTATTTGACATCATTGACAAACTAACAAACAGGGATCTAAAAATAGTCACACTAAGAGGTACTTCTGTATGGTATTTTAGCAACCTATACCCGCTTGAATCATTTAGGGGAAAAATTTCTTAAAACGTACTGCATAAAAATATTTTTGCCACATTGAACTGGAACTTAACCCTTTCAGACCTAGCATCTATTCCAATGGACATTGGATTTTATTAATTCATTGTCTCTATGGCAACTTCTTAGGATTTTCATGACTTTGCACTCCATATTATGCATGGCTCAGTTCCATCAGAGGCCTTCTCTTACTCATGAGTTTTTTAATCTTTAGTTATTTAATTAAATGTTTAATATATAATATATGGTGTGATATGGTAAATTTATACAAAATATGAAAACTATAAATGAAGCACAAAAATTTCAATTACAACCACAAACGAGCTCAAAAATACAAAAAAAAGATATAATTCTGATAGCAGCCTTAATTCAGGCCTGAAAGAGTCAAAAAGCAAGAATTCCCCAGGAATAATCTTTTTTAGATAATCTTAATGGAATTTCAGTTTTCTGTATCTGTATCCTTACTGGAACAATAAATTTCATGGAAATTGTCTCCCAAAAAAGTATGCTGCAAAAGGAAATATCTCAAAATAAGAGTTCTTTTCTAAATATGCATCTGGGCCAGCATCTTTGTGCTTAAGTTTCAGTTTCTGTCTCTCCATTTCATGAGAGAAAAAGTTTTTGGAAATACCAGTGTTAAAAAAAAGAGGTCCCTGTGGGGATGTACTTTTAACAAAAATAGAAATTTTCCAAAAATATGCATTCCAAGAACTGCAGGATTATCAAAGTTATCCATTTTTCCACTTTGAAGCTTAATTGTAACGAAAATGTCTTGGAATAAAAATTCCTTCAGAATAAACTTCAAAACTATAAAAATGTTAATTATATCAGTATTGAGAGAAGCACTTCTACACCAAATTTCAGCTTTCAATAATTACATTTTTCAAAGTGGCAAAAACTTATTTAAAGTATATTCCTGTCTAAATATGTGCCATGAGGGGATGCAATCAATATTATTATTGAAATTATTATTCCTATGATATCTTGTGTGCCTAACTTCAGATCTCTTAATGTGTTCCCATTTGTCAGAGTGAAAAATAAATCTTGAAATACTTCCCTTCAAAAAATTCACCCCGAGGGGACATATTTTCAAAGTAGAATTTTTTCTTTACTCAGCAATCCATCAGGTACTTCTAGCTTTCTATTACTCTCTGTTTTGTTGGATCAAAAAATATTCTGAAAAATACACCTCTAGCAAAAAATGTGCCCTGTGGGGCTTTACCTAAAGAAAAAAATATTTTTTACTGAAATCAGTACTATGCTTTCAGGAACCATGGTTCCTGGTGACATGAAAAACAAAGCCTATTCCTTACATGAGGAATATCAGAAGTGCTAGGCCCCTAAAACTTGGAAATATTGTGTGAAAAAATATTCAAATGAAAGTCAACAATTTCTTATTATAAAGTAGGACTTCTCCCATGCATGCAAATGCCATCCCAAGGGCAGGTGCAGAAAAAGACAACACAGATTTCCATGAGATCATAATGGGTTTTTCATTTTTTAGAAAGTGAACAAATACAGGACAAAACAACAGGAAAAAAAATATAAGCAAGAGTAATGCTACAAGGGACAAATACAGAACAAAAACAAAAAAATGTCAATAGTTCCTAAGGAGAGGCAACAGCACCACGACCAGGGGGGTTCATATACTATTCTATGGGGGTCACATTCCCATACCCCCCATACCCCCCATGCCTCCCATGCCACCCATCCCAGCCATGGGATCACCCTTGTCCTCCTTGGGCATTTCTGTGACAACACACTCTACTGTTGTTAGCAGAGATGCTACCCCAGCAGCATCCACCAGAGCAGTCCTCACCACCTGGGAGAAAAAATTTTTTTTCCAGGTATCAGCAAGTTTGATGTAGAGCCCTGTTTCTGGGGAATCACCTCATCCAACAAAATATATCAACTGCCCTGCCTCACCTTTGTGGGGTCAATGATGCCCTGTTGGAAGAGATCTACATATTGTCCAGACATGGCATCATATCCCACATTCCCTGATGCCTCCTTCACCTTGGCCACTACCAGAGATGCATCCACACCTGCATTCTTTGCAATCTGATAGCAAGGCATGTGAAGGGCTTTTCTCACTAGCTCAATACCTGTAGGAATGCAGAGATAAAATAAGTCTTGACCCTGAGCAGAAAAATTCTCAGATGAATAATTGAGGACAAACCTATTGCTTGGTCTTCGTTTTCTGATTTTAGGGAGTCCAAGGATGGGATGCATCGAATGAGAGCAACTCCTCCTCCAAGAACAATCCCCTCTTCAACAGCTGCACGCGTTGCATTAAGGGCATCAGTCACTCTATCCTTCTTCTCATTCACTTCTACTTCGCTGGATCCACCCACTTTGAGGAGGGCAACACCAGCAGCCAAGCGTGCCAGTCGCTCCTGCAACTTCTCTTTTTCATATTCTGAATTAGTCAAGTCTATCTCATCCTTGAGTTGGTTCACCCGTTGCTGAATATCCTTCTTCTCTCCTTTACCCTGTTACCATCCATCCAAGTGAGATAAAACTACTAGGCCAAACACATGATAGTGAACATCACTATCATCAAGGAAGGATACTTATATATGTATATCACCTTCAGGAGAAGAGTGTCATCTTTGGTGATGACGACCTCAGCCACTTCCCCAAGGTCATGTACTTGTACGTCCTCAAGCTTGACGTTGGAAGCCTCATCCCCGAACACAAGTCCACCTGTTGCTATTGCGATGTCATGTAATGTGTTCTTGCGATTGTCTCCAAATCCAGGAGCTTTCACTGCTGCCACCTGAAGACCAATCTTTAACCTGCCAAAAGCATACCAATCAATCAATTCAGGACTATATGTGAAAGGAGTTTTAGAGGTGCTCAGAGCTGGAGAGATTACTCACCTGTTGACAACCAGAGTGGAAAGGGCCTCACCATCTACATCTTCAGCAATAATGAGCAATGGCCGGCGTTGCTGGTTAGCCAGCTCCAATGCAGGAATGATCTGCTGTATACTGGAAATCTTCTTTTCACTCAACAGGATGAAGCAGTCCTGGAATTCCACCTTTGCTCCTGCATACAATTTAACCATCCCAGTCAAACTTTCATTCTTGCCCTGGGCCTTAAAGCACAGTGACTTCATGTCCCAGTATAGTTCCAGTTCACTTCCAATTGTAAATACAAGCAAACTATATCCAGTCAACTCATTGGCATTGATATTCAGTTGCTTGGGTATCACATTTTCACAATTTGAGAAATTGTTACTTTATAGATACCATGATTCACAAAAACTATCAACAGAAGGAAATGATTTTCAAATTATCCAGTCAGTCTATGAGACTATCTTATAAGCCAATGCATTAGGTGAAACGAACTAAACTGCCCCTGTTCAAGTTCCAGTTACCAAACTGGCAAAACAGGAAAGCGAGTATAAAACAGGAAGTTCCCTGGGAAGGAACTCCCTTTTACAAAGCATGGAAATAAACTGAAATAACAAAGCTGTCCACCAGGTATTGATTTCACACAATATCAGTTTCAGTTATTGGATCTCAATAAACTGGTCAAAAAGTACAGTTTATATTTAGTTTTAAAAAATCCTGAAAACTGGACTAACCAGGGACTGAAACCAAACCAAAACAACATGAAATCACTGTAACTTCCAGTACTCACCCTTTGTTGTGTTAATGAAATACGGGGAGATGTATCCCCTATCAAATTTCATTCCTTCAATAGTTTCCAATTCATCTTGAAGCGTCTTCCCATCTTTCACAGTTATCACTCCATCCTCACCTACCTGAAAAGCCCATTACATAAAAATCTGCAAATTCATAGAGATCTGGAGGAGACAGAGTAGAAAGCTATGCTGACCTTCTTCATGGCTTCCGAAATGAGATTCCCAATGTTAGTGTCACCATTGGCTGAAATGGTTGCAACCTGAGCAATCTCTTCTGGGGTTGTCACTGGTTTGGACATACTCTTCAACTTGGCCACTACCTGGTCTACTGCCATCATTACCCCTTCAAGATCAAAGCACAAAAGATGCATCAGTGACACGAGATATTTTTAAAATTACAAACTAAGTAAAAAATTACAGACCCCTGCGAATCTCAATAGGGTTGGCACCCTTGATGATCTTCTCAAAGCCCTCTTTTGCGATGGAACGTGCAAGGACTGTAGCAGTGGTAGTTCCATCTCCTGCTTCCTCATTTGTGTTGTTGGCAACATCTTGAACTAGCCTAGCTCCAATATTCTGGAACTTGTCCTTCAATTCCACTCCTTTGGCAACTGTGACTCCATCTTTTGTGATCTTAGGAGACCCCCAGCTCTGTTCCAATATTACATTCCTCCCCTGAAGAAGAAAAGAAGTATTGGCACTCTTCCATTATGACAAATGGAACCTATAATCATCATCATCATGGACTTGCTTTGGGTCCCAGAGTGACAGCAACAGCATCTGCTAAGACGTCAACACCCTGTAACATGAGCGCTCGTACTTCTGAACCAAATCGGACATCCTTAGCAAAACTCCTGAATCCAAATGGATTTGAGTGGGGCTTTAGGCCCAACTGCCTCAGAGCAGTATGTTTCAGGGCAGTAGGAAGGCCTCGCACAACCCTATACATGCTGAACTGTGAAATATCAGTTACTTACACCTGCAAGAGTGTAGAAATCAAACCACATCACAGCAAGCCTTCACTGTTTTTCCCCGAGGTTGACATTCATTGGAGCACCCCAAATTTTCATTTCACTTCGAAATTAGATCCAAAATACATTTACAGATGTAGTGCATTTGTAAAAATATTTCGGTCTAATTTCGTAATATCCTAATATCGTATGAATTCTAACACTTCATGGTACATACGGGGGTGAGGGAAAAACCCAGGAAGTAGCTATATTAGGCTTATGAAGCTTTTGTTAAAGGCTTTACGCATGCATTTGCAAATCACTTTTGGTCGTTGTGGCGTCAAGTCCAGACTGACTCGAGCACGTAGCCCTTCAAGCAACGTGGTCTGCAAGATTCCGCGAATCGGAAACAAAACTGCTGGTAAGATGATGGCCCTTTGCTTCCTGATGAGAGCATTGCCTAGCACACTAATGTGGTACATGTGAAAGCACAGAAGTGAAGCATGCCTTTGCTGTGGAAAGGAAGCGGGTATTTATACGCCATGCCGATTCACTGTGCTCAAAATATAGTTCCTTGGAAATCCTTTTCCTTTGCTGTTCGGGATAAGCAAAAGAAATCACCGTCCAGTAAAAGAAAAATTATCAGGTTTAGGCAAGGAGGATATGTCCGAATGAGGTAGTGGAGAAAGGAGGGAATGACCATCTGATGCAACGCTCCTTGTGTGCCACACGTGAAAGACCAGAGATTTCTAGAAGATTCTCTCAGTCTACATGTCTGCCTTCTGTCGGCAGCTTCAACCGCTCACGTGTTTTGTCTCCCTGGAGCTCTCTTCTCAATCCTAAGGCTAACTTCTACGGTTTCCAACAATGGTAAGTAGCACTTTGAGAGGCCATACAAAATATTCGTTCTCCAACGTCATGTCTAGGCCTAAGGTTTAAGATTTGAGATTTGGATCAGAATGCCAAGAGGCTTGTCAGCCCGATTTGCCATCCCTACATTGATTTGCGAATGATTCATGCCTTCTTTTAATTTGTGCATTATGCATGTTTACTTCTATGGTGCATTGTAGTGGATGAGACAAAATCAGGATGGTACAGAACATCACATGAACAAAGTGGAAAGATAGTAAAAGAAAAGAAAATGGGGTATTTCTTTATGGCTCTACAGAGCTTTCCTGAGGAATTTATTTGCAAGTCACTGTAGTCAGGTCAAATACTCATCATTGTGTCTTCCTTCACCCCAAGATAGGCTGTCTCCAAAAATTTTGGAGGGTGCATGTTAGTCACCTGCTTAGTGTCCAGTAACAGATATATTGCTTCCTTTTGTTTATTCAGGCATGTAACCTTTTAGAGTTAAATATGCTAACAGAAGGGGTAGGGATGACATTTTACTGGGTGTCTCAAAATTCCAGACTCTGGCAGATTTCTCAACTTACCTTTATTTCATTAAATTGCATGCCATGAAGTTGCATACACATATCAATTCTGTCATGTCACCACTTCTGAATATTGCTTAGTATCTCCATACTAATATTTGGCAATTCTGAATGTTCTTCAGCTTGTCAATATTGTGTGGTTGTGAGAGCCACTGATTTTAGATGTCCCCAAAGTAAAAAGTCCAATGGGGTGAGATCCAGACCATTTCTTGATTTCTTCAATCATCTGAAATTGAAAGAAAGTTTTAATGAACCCCAAATACCTATTTGGACTTTTGAGACACCCTGTACTACCAAACAAATGTTTCGAGCATCATGCCTTTATTGTCTTTTTGTTACTCTCCTACTTTATTTTCCTCTGAATATTTCCCTTCTGTGTAATTTTCCATGCATCATGGTTTCCCCACATTTCTCTTCACAAATAGAACATTAAGATATATCTTCATATTTAGAGTTACCATATTTTGGACAGCCAAAAAAAGGATTCCTTCTGCTTGGAAGGAAATTTGACAGTGAAAAAGTATTGACTGTATTAACTTCTGATAACATAATGTTATCAGAAGTCAATACAGTCAATACTTATATATTCTGTATAATGTTAAACTCATTCCCTGTATGGATGAGCTCTCAAGAGATATCTCTTAAAATTAACTAATCCTATCCCAACCCTTCATATGGGTAGATCTGATGCTTTGCTTGGACTTAAGCTAATGTGGTGGATTTTTTAGGCAGGAGCACTTAAGAGGTTTATGCCACTGTTTGATCGAGTGCTGGTAGAGAAGGCTGCAGCAGAGGTCACAACCAAGGGTGGAATCATGATCCCTGAAAAGGCATTGGGTAAGGTACTCCAAGGCACTGTGGTAGCTGTTGGACCTGGTGCACGTTCAGAGGTGAGTTCACAAGGACTTTGCTGAAGTCTATTCCTAAGAAAATAGCCCTAGGCTTTATCAAGACCCTAATTGACACAACTACTATGAGCCAGTACACTGTAGGCTCAGAGAAGTTTTGGGTGCTCATTTGTCCCTGGTTGACAATCTGAATTACTGCAAGTGCACATGCAGTGACTAGAGTGGAAAAGGCAGTATGACAGGGCGTGCTTATATTTTCAAACTGTCGTGGCCATTCAGTGGTCAAATCAAACATTCTTTCAATCGTGGTAGCTTTCTTGATCTCATTGAATGTAGCTCCATGACTAAATGTGAATCCTACCAGGAGCACACTGTACCATTTATTCCTACCCAAGTGAGGAGACTGTACATCTTACATTTTTCAATTTCTCAAGGATATATTGAATTTTGTTTAATTATACTTTTACTGAAGATATTAGTCTTAACTGAATATCAGTCTAGAAGCCTAGAATCTGCTAGACATAAAAACAAATTTTGGTGAGCAATGCCCTTATATGATATTCTGGATATTGCATTCTTCAAATTACCTGTAGCAGAGTGGGGCATTACATGTAATTAATGGTAAACTACCCCTAGCCTACCAGTGCTTAACCATTAAATTTCTAGTGCTCCTACTGGTCAGCAGTGAGCAATATGGTTTTTTTCTTGACCAGAAGTCAAAGGTTGATTGCCAACATAAGAATGTCATTCTGAATTCTGAGAAGAGATCAGCTATTAGAAACCTAGGGTGGAAAAACCAATTACCAGTGATGGAAAAAATGTATTATTGACCCTGGCATAGAAAAAGGGATGGTATGGTTGGAATTTTTTATACTTATGAATGAAAGATTCTCAATTAAAATGAAGATTTTTTAATGTTCAGGAAATGTGCCAACTGCCATCTGCTCTTTCATTAGATGGATTGTGTCTGCTGTATTCTGCAATGCTTTGAAGTGGCCCAGTTCTTCCTTTGCCTTAGAGTATTTAATTTCAGATATTATTGGAAAGGTAATGAAATTTGGGCACCACTTTTTGAAGCATACCTAATAATTCAGTGGCACTGGACAGGGAAGAGGAAGGATCTGACCCTAGTAATAAAGTCACTTCTTAATTCAATGTATTATGTCATTTCAAGCATTTATACAGTCAGGCCACTCGTTAGGCTGATACTTAATGGAAAAATGACATTTTAGCATGCAATCATGCAATTGGTGACAAATGCACTTTTTTCCTTCATGGTTTTAAAAGCCATCACATTTACAAGGTTGAGATGATAAAAAAAAGAGCATTCTGAATTATTTCTTGCATTAGCACTCTTCTTGCTATAACTGCATGTGCATCATGGAGGAGTAGTAATCACATGTGGACTGGATTCATTTCTTGAGAAACCTTATAATGAAAGAAGCCAAATTAATTTTTTGCTTTCTGACCTTGCTTGATGTCATAAAAATGTAAGCTTTTGTACCGGATGTGCCAATAAAATATTAGGAATTATAAGTTGTAATATCTAACTAACAAATTACATCAGGAAGTTATATCAGGCACAGTGAGAAAGAGTACAGTCAGCAGTTTATTTTCAGCACATTGTTTTTTTTTTCTCCTGATATGTTCAATGTGGTCACAGCAGCAATTAAGACATGCATTTACTAGTAGTGTGAAGTTTTCGATCACTTGGAAACGTGTCTCTGGTGGGATGGATCGCATGACAATCTCCATGGCCCTCTTCAAGTCAAGCAAGGTTTTTTACTATTCTCTGTACTTTTCTCTTGAGGTCAGGAGTGAAGACTCACATGATCTCTGCATGCCTGGAGATGACTCAATGAACATTTCTTATGACAGTTTCATGGCCACATTCACTTTGTGGGGCATAGCATCGTCTTGTTTGTGCCAGACTGTGACAGTGTCAGAAACTCCATGGTTTCAGCAAGACAACACTATGCCCCACAAAGTGAATGAGACTGTGAAGTTGTTTCAAGAAATGTTCAGTGAGTCATCTCAAGGCATGCAGAGATCACATGAGTCCCTCACTCCCCTGACCTCAAACCATAACATTTTTTCCTGTGGGGCTATGCAAAGGACAATGTGTACAGAGAATAGCAAAAAACATTGCCTGACTTCAAGAGGGCAGTGGAGATTGTCATGCGATACATCCCACCAGAGACGCGTTTCCGAGTGATCAAGAACTTTGCACAGTGAATAAATGCTTGTCTCAATTGCTGCTGTGTCCACATTGAACATGTCAGCAGGAAAAAAAAAAAACCAGTGCTGAAAATAAACTCCTGACTGTGCTCTTTCTTACTATGACTGACATAACTTTGTGCTGTATTTTGTTACTTATTACAACTTATCCCTTATATTTTATTGGCCCTCCCTCCCTCCATAAATAGGATGGAAGTTGCAAATTCAGCCTAAGGTATTGTCTGACTTGTGCTTAAGGCTTGAGCTTGTGCTCTTTGGTGATGCTGCTCAGCTTTTATTTATTTATCAAATGTGTTGTCAGTATTTCTGGCATGTGGTTGTTTCAACTTGAAAGCACATATCAATTCAAAGTATGTGGGCAGCTAAGATCCTATCTGCCTGAATAACCCAATCCTGGCTGTTATTTGGGTACTTTTTACATATATATTTTTAAATCAGTTCTTGTGACTTGGTTGGTTTTAAAACTCACTGTGGGTTTAACAGGGCTAAATTCAGCTGCTCTCCCTTTCTGTCTTGTGCTTCCCCTCCCCCAGTTGTGGACCCTCTGTGAACAATATAGTTCCCTCCCCTTAATCCTGCTTCATGGTCCATTGAAGCCAGATATTCTCACATGTAACCATTGAAAGTCCTGAAGGATAGAGCAGCAGAATCAGGAGTAGATTCTTTGTATTTAATTTTCTGGGTCCTATGAAACCTGAGGTAAAAACTTATCCATTTGGGTAGGCTATGGTGTAAACTTGTGAAGCCCAATACTCTGATAGTAACTAGGCAAAGTATTTTGAAGAGATTCTTTGGGAATGAAGAGATGAAATAAAGTCAAACATATGACCATCCAGATTCTGGTAGATTCCAGATTCATTGAGTGGTCCATGTCTACAAACTCCCTCAATTTTCACTCATATGTGAAAGAGTAATCAGAGGGATGCACTTTGGCAACCTACATAAACTGTAACATGGATATAACAACATCCAGTGGTTATGGAAAAACTAAAAAAAATTCTAACACCCACACCCTCATGCCTTAATACTGCAGTATGAAACTTATTGTCCTTCCAGAATGCACACAGAAGATATAGGTAACTGAAATTGAAATGATGAGAAATTTAATAGAGAAGTTCAGGAATATTAGTTAGTGCTTTCAAGGATGCAAAAAAGTTCAAATAAAAATAAAATTTGCCCCTTAAAAATTGGACAGTAACTTCAGTAGTTTTGGCTAATAAAATTTCAACTGTCTCTGTTCTTGTAGAGAAACTGAATAGGATTTACTTAATATCCTTCTCATAAGATACCTGAGCCCCCCCCCCCCCCCAAGACAAAGCATTGTTTTTATAATAAATTCTTTGCTTTCAGAAAGGAGAGGTGATTCCTCTAAGTGTACATGTTGGAGATCAAGTTCTTCTTCCTGAATATGGTGGCACAAAGGTCAACCTTGATGACAAAGATTATTTCCTCTTTCGGGATACAGATTTGCTTGGAAAGTTTTCCTGACTGATGCATGCAACAAGGATCTCAGCAGTTGACATAGTGTAGAAGTGTGGGTTCACCAGTGCTACTTTTTTTCCACAAAATTTTTTTTGGTAGAATAAATATCCCACAACAAATGGAAAATGGCAAGATCTGTATTTTTTCCTTTATGGGCCTAGGTCTAAACACCATAACCACGAAGAATGAGTATCAATAGTCAGATCTGAGCTAACAGCATGGGAGAAAATCACACACAATCTATTGTGTCAACGATCATGTAAAGAACCTCCATGGTAACTGGTACAGAATACTTGAGGTTCCAGTTGACTTTGGCCAAGAACATTCAGAGACAAATAGAGAAAGGTCTTCATCCATCATAAGTGAGAGGGAGGGGATGATTTAGCCAGCCTTGGGCCTATCACCCACAAGTGACAGAAGTTTCTTTGTTGAGAAGGATTTGGGCCTTTCAATGGGTTGCCCTAGTGCACGATCCCAGATCAAAGATGCCATCACACCCAGAGCTCGAGACACGCCAAACAGGACAGTGTAAAACTGCATTTCCTTCATGCCAAAATGCTTGAAAGATGGGAAGAGATACAGGGAATGATAATCTAGAACTGGGAAAAGTAACAGATACTACAAACAAGAAATGCTCTCACTTGCAGGAGAACACCTGAGTGGGCATCCACATTGGGCCAAGGATTTGCCACTTTCCCTGTCTCTTGAAGTATTCCTGGAACCACCTCATATAGTTGAGACACCAACTGAATGTCAAGAGTAAAAACTGTTAAAATATGCAGTGACTACATGTTAAACTTATTTGAGCCAAATCAAGAATCCCAGAGACAGTGAACTGTTGAAAAGTAGTAGGCAAGACAGACCCATAATCAGAACCCTGCAAGTCAGGCCCCAGAAGAGAATTTCTGCAAATGATGTTCCATGGGAAACTGAAACCATGGGAAACTCGGGGGCCTGTTCCACATATGTAAAAGTTACAAGTACTTGCAAGGGTCACATCTTCTCATTCAACTCTTCCAACTGTGTCCTGCTGACCAATACATAACCCTTATAAATACTTTTAAATCTTTGCAGAACAGGCCCCTGGGATCATAAAAACTCCAATGAAAACTTCACCTCTGTTGAAAAATGGAAGAGGAGAACCAGTGATGAGGACAAGGAAAGCATGTAATTTCTCAGGAGTTACAATACAATACACCACTGTGATGTAATATAATCTTGCAGAGGGAGAATTCCATGACTTTATACACTCAAGGACTTGGCACATACTGCTTTGATCATGGGACAGACCCATTCATATTTCCTTCATTGTCATGTCAAGAATCCTGCCAAATATTACTGATGTAGGCCAATTCAGACAAAAAGCTTTCCAGTGACATCTGCAATGGCAGCAAAAATTATAAACAATGGGAGAGAAAACAATATATTTCCACTCAACAAGCATAGGTGTTTCTATTATTCCATGAGATGCTTTTGCCAATAATTAGGCAATAGACAATGAAAAGTCTTAAAGAGGAAGTCAAAATTAGGAACTAAAAAAAAAATGTGGATGAGACACCAAGACTTGGTCTTTTTTATTTTATTTTCCATCATCTGACTCACTTGGAAAGTTTTTTCCAAGCAAATTCCAGATAAACCACGTTGCAAACATTTTACACTGCTAAAGTATTTATGTTTAAGATAGTACAACTATGAAAATTTTGAACGTAGCATACCTTGAAAAGTTTATCATCAGGCAAGTGCTTGAGAGCAAATTCCCTTTGACATGTGTAACGAGGGTCTGTCTTACGAAGAACAGCATGTCCATAACCAGGGATCACCTGCCCAGACTTCAACATCTTCCAAACGAAATCCTTCAGCTGGGCATTTGTTACTGGGAGCCCAATTTCATCCTGGACTTTTTTCAAGAAGACGAGGACCTAGAATTGTTCAAAAACACACTTTCATTCCCACTGTGCTCTTCACATCCCCTAAACCTAAAAAATTACTTACTTCTTGGTTGGCAAGCCCATGCAGGGGCCCAGCAAGTCCATTCATCCCAGCAGCAAATGAGAGATACGGATCAGAGAGTGCAGATCCAACTAGGTGAGTTGCATGGGCACTCACATTCCCACCTTCATGATCACTATCATCATACAACACCCAAGCCATCATTATCATTGATACATGTGGCTTGGTCAATTCTCAGGAGATGAGAACATGGAAAGAATACATACGCATGAATGGTGAGATACATCCGCATGCACTCAGTGAAAAGAGGATCATCATAGCCCAACATGGATGTGAAGTTGTGGGACCAGTCCTTATTAGGATCAATGGCACCAATGCTTGTCCCATCCCGATACAAATTGCGGTATATGGTTGCTCCAATGGTTGGCAGCTTTGCAATCAAGTTCATGGAATCCTCCAGTACATACTACAAATAGCATGGGACAAAGAGAAACTTCCATAAATTTTCACTTGTTAACATATCCTTGTAAGCAAGGGTTCCATTTATGATGTAATGATGAGGAATTACTCACCTCCCAGTACTTGCTTTTGTGTACACCTTCAGAATAGGCCTTACGAAAGACACTCTCAGAATTGAGAGCTGTAATGGCAGCACTGAATTGGGACATGGGATGTAAATTTGTTGGGAAGTTGTTTAACATGCTGACAACATGAGAAGGGAGATGTGCTCTCTCTGCCCAATCCTTTGAGATCGACTCTACCTGGAAACAAGAAGGAATTCTTCCTTCAATCATAATGAAAATGAAAATGTACTTCTCCAGAAAAACCAGGGGTGAATTTTTTGGTTCTACTTTAATTGCTCAGTTAAATAAATGCATGCAAAAACTACCCCTCAAGAGCTCCTCTCTCTGAGAAGTACATACATTTTATTCACATATCTGAAAATAAAGGTCAACTACATAAGCCTCAATTGTATCAATATAACTGCTGTTCTTCCATTTCAAGACAATGCAGAAATACCATAACTGGCAGTCATAAGTCCACTGTCCCATCCCAAACGCCATCCAAACTAGAATGAGGTCAGTTAGCAGATTTAATGATTTTCTGAATTATCAAGAAAATTCAGTTTTTTTCTTCAGCATGAATGCTATGCTATGATGCCATGAATGTTAAAATAAAAAAGCTGAAGGATTCCATTACTTTTTTTTGGAACAGTTGTACATAGGATGTAGATCTGGGGAATAGGAATCATTTTTGTCATTCCTGTAAGCTTTACCTCTTATAATTTTTTTGTATGGATCAGGACCACATGAAATGAATGGATATTTAGGCAACTCAGTGGCAGTATTAGTATGCTACACAATAATCAGAATAACATTCTTTTAGATCAGGGGCTTTATTCTAGAGAGTCACCAGGGATGAGACCTAAGAAGCAGGAACAATGACCACTCAGATGTATTAATTCAAAAAAGTTTTTTTTTTCTGCTGAAGTAAAAATGAACGCTGGATGGAGAAAGATGCAAATATTGGACTGGAATTGATCAACTGACCTGCCCTTGGGTTGGAAGATCTCCAGTGACCAAAAGCCAAAAGAGCCCCTCTGGAAGTGGCTCTTCACCATTAGGTTGCTTTTTGGGAAGTTTCTTCTGGCATTCTGGAATGGAAAGTCCTCTGAAGCGAATGCCTTCCTCAGGATCCAGCACTGAAGTCTCTGTGACAAGTCCTTTTATCCCTCTCATTCCACCATACATCTAAGCACAGAATATTGTCATGAACTTGATGAACAAAACAGACAAATTAATTTCATTCACTGTGCTTTAAACAATAATAACAAAAACCTGATCACATTTCCAAACTCCTTACTTCAGAAAAGAGATATGCTTTTTTTTTTAAACTTATATGTAATCCTATGACCCCTGCGGTAAGTGTTTGGAGGAGAAAGATATGTAATAGGTAATTGTACAATGTGTGATCTACAGGACAATTTTTGCTCCATCCTTTATTGGTTGTTATTATACAATGCATGCAGTGTGCCAATGACTCAAGGACATTTTGAAAAACACATTTTCCCAGTTACCAGACTAGATCCACCGCTACAATAAATGTCATTGGGACACATTCAACTCTAATTTTTTAGAATCACTGCAATAGGCCTACATGCTTTGGATCCATCCAAATGGGCAAAACAGATGCTTTTAATTAGACAAGGCACATGAAGAAAAAAGAACCTTACCATGTCAATAGTAACCTCGCCAATAACAGTTTTTCCATGCTTTGCCCGAAACTCCTTAACGATCTTTGCCTGTTCAGGGATCTTCTTAGCCAAAATTTCTTTGAGATTGCTGTGAGAGTCTGCAATATGTCGCGATATGATCGTGGCTGTGGCAGCAGTGACCACTTTCTGCAAAAGAGATGAGGTGAAGATGTTACCAATTTCAACAACTATAAACCAAGCCTGTGACCATCAAAGAGGATGGAATTCAAAAAGCTAATTCTTCAGAAGCAACTACAGGGTCCACCAAAAGAAGTAAAAGGATTTAATGTGTTTTTATATTGGAACAACTTATATTTAAATTTTTTTGTTTCAGGTGATCTTCTAAGATTCAATCATAAACCAATGGACAACTCAGCAGTGCTCAGCTATTGTTCAGCTTTATTTAAAAAAATGGGTGCTCCATAATCAGAGCTCAAAGAGCATAAAGAAGGTAATTTAATGTTAATGTTGCTCCATCTGAGCATGTGATGCATGAATGTGTGTCCAGATTTCAGATTGTGGGATGATTTACAACTTCTCAAGGCTGTTATTGCAGCAATTAGACCAAAAGTACATATAGTTTCAACAAGATAGGGCTAACTGTCATACAGCTAAAGTAGCCGTGGTAATTTTGCATGGATTGTTTCCCAACAAGATTAATATCTCCTCATGGGGACATAAATTGGCTTGCAAGATCCCCAATCTTTCTGCTGCAGGTTTCTTTTTGTGGGGCTACTTAAAAGAAAGAGTTTACATCAACAAACCACAAACACTACAGGATTTGAAGAACAACATACACCAGAAAAAAACATTACTCATGAAACTTTGACCAGTGTACTGAAAAGTGTTATTTTTAGAGTACGTCAATGAGTTCAATGGTTCATGGTTCACGTAGGACATTTTTTCCATATCTAATTTACATGAAATCTAACAGAGTACCTGATTTTGAATTTATGTAACATTTTGATTGCAATAAAAGTCATTTTATGTTATTCCAGATTAAAATACCTTTATTCCTTTGGGGAGACCCTGTACCTACAACTCTTCCATTCACTTTGAGCTTTCCCATTATGCAACAGTGATTTCTCAAAAATATATTTATCTCCAGGCTGGTTTCAATTATTTGATGTCTCTATTCTTAAAAAACTGAAACAAACAGTTCAATAGGGGTTACTCATAACAACCAATTCTAGAAAGCACAAGTTGCCTCAACTTTATGTCATATAAATCCTGAAGGTGTTATGTAGCAGCTGCCAGTTTTGTAATAAAAATTTTATCCTTTTTTGAACAATGGCTCTGGCACTCACACCATTCCATCACAAACTTAGGACTGATCATCAGGCCCAATCACAAAAATACGAAGTGGATGAATGACCCCATTGCGAAAATAGAATATTTTCTGAGGTACCACAAATTAGGGATTGACATTAATGACTTGTTGATAAGTCAACGGATGGATTTCACTTTAAGATCAGCAAAACCAAAGCCTTCCACAAAGCAAAAGAAGGATGTGTATGTTTGCTTTGTGGGGAGTCAGCCAACACATATCATCTACTCTCCTGTAATAAAAACACAATGTCACTGACCAAATGGGCAACGATGGAATAGAGGAAAAGCTTCTGTGATATATTCTGTATTTACCAAATTGACAAAAACGCCATGCTATGGTGCAATAAAGTTTTGATTGATTGACGTTAATGGCTTGAAACGCAATTCAGTTTTTGGCAAATGTAGAGACTATTCTAAGAAAAAGAACTTCTAACATTCTGTGGGGAGCTCATTTTTTATTGTGAATACCTGTAATATGTAGCTTACAGGCCACAAGCATCCAAATACAATTCCCACTTTGCAGTCCTACTCCCACCTGTCCCCTTCTCAGAATGGATTATAATTGAAAGTAAAACAAAAAGCAAAACATTCAAGATACACATTTTAAGGCATTGTCTAGGCATAGGCCTAATATGAAGGTAGATGGAAAATAAAAACATATAATCATGGGAGGTGGAAGGAAGATGGGGCAGAAATAACATACTTAGGGGGGGAAAAGTTAGTCCAACACATCAGTATAGGTACTAGAGCAGAGAGCATGCATATAGTGAAGTATGGAAGTAAAACCTGAATATCTATAACAAATACATGTCAGCCTCAAATAATAATTAAAATATTGAGATGTATTTGACAGGTTTTCATTTCAAACTCACTTGATGATTGAGAAGAACCACTCGAAGAGCAGGCTGGGTGAGATTAAATGCCATTTCAAATAAATCTGGATGAATCTGCAAGAGGGCTCTTTCAGAAGTAATGTGGACCTAAGCCAGTCTAGCTAGGCCTGCAAGTGAAGAGATCAAGGTGAAAGATAGAATTTAAAAAAATTAGATTATCTCCACTTTCATGAGACACATAATAGCAAAGTGTGTACTACTTCAAGGTCATTCCATAGCAAACAGCCCATTGACTTTGATTTAACCTTTCCAAATATGAACAAAAAACCTGTGAGGTCCCTTGTTCTTCAGTTCTTCTGTGCTCTACATACAACCTTTTTGTCATTGTGGACTAGGGACTCAATGGCTGTCCAGTACTTGAATAATTGACTGATATTTTTCAACTGGTCAGTTCAAATTATCAGTATGATACATCTTCCCAGTCTCTGAGATGGATATATTGAAGGTGCCTCCCAGTCTAGGGAAAAGGAGGTTTTTTGTCAGAAAAAGCCATATGCCAATGTGTCGATACTGGGCACATGAAGATGTGACTCGGTATAACTGGGCGAGTCATGACTCAGGGCATGCTTCACTCTTTTAACAACCTTCTGAACACATTCAATCTTTTTTTCCAATAGGCAGCACACAGATTCAAGTGTAATTTAAATGCTATTGTGAGTAGCACCCCTAACAAATGTAACTGAAATCTGAAAATGATGAAATTGTATAGAAAGGTTTTCAAGCTGCAATTCTGCAATTGCCACACTGGGGTCAGCATTTAAGCCTCTTGATGTGGTTCATCTTGGCACAACATAAGTATTTGGTGTCCATAGGACAGTTTATAGTTTGAGGCTTAAGTTCCAAGCAAATGTCGAAAAACCTTTCATGATTTGCTTCAGATATGAGAGCTTCTATAAACACCACACTGGCTGCAGGAATAATGGCATGTCAACATCAGGAAGGAACCTTGGCTCAGAATACTATAGCAGAAATTTTTGTGAAAAAAAACTGCCATCAGACACTTTCAAACAACACTTTCGCATGAAGAAGTACTTTTGAGATAAATTAGACACTATAATGTCAATGCAATTTGGGTTGCATTGGCATTATAATCTCAACCACTGGTACGTACCCAGATCCCACCTGGATCTGGATACGTACTTTTGCTGCTGGACACCTTCCTTAGTAGTTGCTATGCTCACAGATTTGACACAACAGGAATGACCTGATCTTTGAGACCAGGTCAGCACATAACTCAGGTCAGGTTTCTGCAGCATTACCCAATGCATTCAATGCTTTGCACCAAGTCCCAAGTCATAGCCAAGGTCACAAATTATTATATGCACTATACACATCTATATGACTGTTGGCCAGCTGAAGGGCTGAAACTCCACCTATTGGTACAGGAGCAACAGGTCTCACTAGAACAAATAGTTGCAAGAGGAATGGTCACAAAAGCTAACAATCTGACTGTAGAATGAATAGGTAGTTGTCCAACAGTAGGAAGAGTACCTGCAGAAGCCAAATGCCAGACAGCCAGCCACTTCTGTCAAATAAGAAATGAAAACAAGATAGCAAGATAACAAGAGGAAAAGATAGCCCATCTTGGTAGGAAGATGAACAAGGTAAATAAGCATAGCCAGATGAGATTCATACAGTCACCTAGGGTTAGTTCTCACATTTACTTTCCATACCCTTAACCCCTTGAACATGTGACACACTAGTATGCATCATGGAAAAACCATGCTACTGATGCCCATGATACTTACTGGTTGCTCACTGTGAGTGCTAACAGGGAGAAAAGTATCATGAGAGGAAGTAAAAGCAGGGGTAGTTGCATTTAAGAGAACTAACAGAGAAAAAAAAGGATATGACAGGCATGAAGTTGATAAATACCTCGTGTGTTCAAGGGGTTAACGGTGAATTTTTTATGGTCATCCCTGCAATAACAATCTTTCTAACACAGACATAATACTTCCCTTATTGAAATTTTGCTATTGAAGGCCTGGGTGAAGAAGACTTGAGCTTAAATACATGGCACTCACAAAACATACAACCATCCTGGTGTACATTGGGGGTGACCAAATTTTTTTCAGGAAAAAACCAGAACATTTTCAGTTCAGTTCAGCTTATTTGGCATGTAAAAAGTGGTATACACTATCACAGCACACTATCACAGGGAGATAAAGAACACATAGGGAACAAACCACAACAGAAGGAAATAAAGCAAAAAAGGAAACAAAAATAAAACAGAGGGGGAAAAACAAGATAGAGGAAAATGAAACAAAATAGATATGGCAATGCACTTGGGGGAGAGAGCATAATGGATCATAAATATAAAAATATAGGGAGCACTATCGATTAGGGATGATTCACATACATCCAAGGGAAGAAACAATTAAGTTAGGTCAGAAAGGATTTCTGAAGAAAATGTTTAAAGAGTTTTTTTGCTGTTGCAATATTTGGGGTTGTTCCAACAACTGCATTTTTTAAATTTGGTCTGGAAGTTCACTCCATAGTCTTCCAATGCCTGGATAAAACGTTCTGGTACAGTTAACCAAACGCTTTCAGTTAACTGAGCGCAAGTAGTCACCTGAGTGACTGTGATCACGTACAGTCACTTGGCTTGCGTACAGTCACCAGATAAGTTAAGCGCCTACCCCCAAACGAAATTGCACTCCAATTTTTCCAGATTAATTCAACTAGAAACATCCTCCATTGATTGGGATTCCTTTTATATATAATACACACCACCCCCACCCGAACCTAACCTAATCTGGCCTAACTTAAGGAGCAATACAATATCCCTAGGGGGTACAGTCACCTGGGCAACGCTACGCACTACGTGCGGTTAACTGTGTCCGATGGGCAACTGTAAGCGGAGTATCAATATCAATGGAGCGGTCATTGATCGTAGAGATTACTCTCTCTTATGGTCGCAAGGCCTGGGTCACAGTGGACCCCACTCACCGGATTTAGGCCTACGTCTAGCGACCTGACCTAGGCTAAGCCAACAAGGACTCGACTTGGTGACCTTGACTAAATCGGGGTCTCATACACACACACACACACACACACACACACACACACACACACACACATATCCATATAGAGGTGTTAGTTGTCACACATGTCGAATGCTTTCACAGATACTCCAACACCCGTTCACGACACTACGCATGGATGTCAGAATCAACTGAAAAAACATCGGACTCGGAGAAACACTACAGTAAATGCAAGAGAAACCCGCAGATAACTCCAATGTCACACCTCTTGCGAAGACCGACCCGACTTGCGGACTGCGGTACGGACGTTGCGGGCCTGCTACGTGGGCCTCGAGCGGCAAGGCCTTTTCTGCAATGGGGTAACTCGTGACTAGAGTCACGGAAGAAAAATGCCAAGAAAAGTTCAAGAGGGGAGGGGGGGAATTTCTCTAAAATTCACCAGGCTTCAAGTCTTCTTCAATTTATATACGCCCCTCCACTTTTTATTTTAATACGTCCCAGCACCTCATCTTGCCTAGGGTGACCACCTTTTTCTTTAAGCAGGAATGGCAACCCTGCGGAATCCCCATATATTGACTCCGAGCAGCTAAGTGAGACATCTGGTGGTGAGGAACGGAGCTAACATATTTGGGGGTGGGCGATGAATTAGAATATGTGGCCTAGCTAGACCACATGTTGGTCCCCTCGCGAATTATAGCTGATTCCAACAGAGATTTAAAGGTGAAGCCCTACTCCAAAAAAAAGCCATCAGTCTGAACGTGACGTGCTTATGGATGGAAGACATATCTACCCTAGTAGCATATAACATTGAATCAATGCTGTTTCAATGTTATACAGTATGCTACTAGGGTAGTAATCTTACTACAAAAATTTTTGTGGATTGATTATATAGGCAGAGCCGCTCAGAGGTTTCCAGAGGCCCTTTGGAAGTCCCCATGGGCCCCTAAATACGCGAGGCCCGAGGTAGATGTTCTCCGATTCCCCCCCTGTTTTATTTTTGTTTCCTTTTTTGCTTTATTTCCTTAGCCCCCCCCCCCCCCCCCCCCCCCCCCCTCTGGACGGCCGTGGATATAGGAGGGATGATGATGTAATTTTGTGAATGCCATCTATATAATTAAGACCTACGTTTGTTCGTCCCGCTGTCTGTCCGGAGGCCTACACGGGCCGATTTTTCCGAACCTGGTCCGAGACTTTGCCACGCCCAACCAGAATCCCGAGTGCCAACTGAGCTACGAGCCCGATCCACGTGTCGAGTCGGTCCAATCGAATTTATTCGCCTCTCGTGTAGAGCTCAAGCTCTTTAAGGTCTCTGATGTTGAAAGGCATCATTGACTTTCCATTCTATATCCTTGACTGTTCCAAATCCGAACTGTGATTCTCATTTGAATACTATTAGACGGAACTCACTGAATGTGTACACAAGCAATTCGTGGTCCCTTAATAAAGGAACGCATTCCCCAGTGTTAATCTAAAGCTGTCTCAAAAATCGAAAATCGAAAAATGTACTCTCTGGAATGGTATAAACGGAAATTGGGCGTCTCTGATGGCAAGAAGCATTCTACATTCTGATACCTGAGAGTTCCGAATTCGTACGGTGTGTATTATTTGCATACTATGGGTGTAAATTGGTATATAGGGAAATTGCGGGGAGGGGGGGGGGCGCGATGGGATGCACCAAATAAAACTGATTCGAAATATGGGTGTTCAAAATTCCAGCAGTGCGACTCTTACATACTACTGGACGGAGGTCGATTAGCCTCAATTAGGACAGAAGGACGTGTATACTTCACGGATACCAGCTGGTTGAATATAATTGAAGTCTCTCAGGGAAAATCTCGGACTGGGTTCGGAGGGATCGCCGAGGTCAAGATCTCGTGCTCTCGCCTTATTTCAATAGTCTAGTGCAGTGATGAGTGAGATATGGATGGTACTTCGTAGTCCCTTTGTCTCTCAACAGTTAAAAGTTACCCTTCCTGGCCCATTTCCTATCCCTGTAGTTGAATCTCTCCCAGCTGGGGGTTTGCGGACCCGCTGGGGTTCGTGGCTTGGCTTCAAGTGGCTTCAAACAAGCCATGCTCTGGTCAAAAATGATTAACGGACAAAATTAAAAATTAAAATTCAGAAAGGAGTGTAAAGAAATGTAAAATTGCTCGCATTATTTATATATTTTTACAAATTTACGCGATGGTGAAGGAGATCCGCTCAGGTCCCCTCTGTTCCAAATTGGTCCGCAGGCAAAGAAAAAAAAATCGAGAACCACTGCTGTAGATAATTTGATCCATTCCAGTGTCGTGTTCATGAAAACTCAAAATTTTCCATTTGAACGGTGCTTTAAAAAAAAAAACGAAAACGACAGACATATTCCCTCCCTTCCTTTTCCCCTCCCCAACTGATAGGAATCAGGAATTCCAGCACCCCATTCCTTCCTGCGAATTTTTTCACCTTGCTTTTATCCTTGTCTACAAGCTAGTGCCTCGCCGTGCGTGTGCGACGATCTGTGTCTGCGACGAAATAGTGCAACGACGAAACGGGCTTGCGACGTTTTGTCCGCAACGAACTGTCCGCGACCATTTAGGCCGCGACGAAAGCGTTGGTCACGCAACTAATATCTGTGAACTCAATCGAAAATCAAAATGTCATTCATGGCGTGTCGCAAGAAACTCTCCAAGCAACACAAAGAAAACTTTCGCAGACCGTGATGCCGCCCATTTTTGAGTTGCATTTCATGCTAATGCATAATATTTGTATTTTTTTTACGAAGAAAGTTTACGTAACTCTTTTGAATAACATTTACTTTAAAAAGTCTGCGATTATTGAGTGAGAAATCGCGAGTCCTCTGAGTGGCAAATATATATGCTTGGATACCCTGAATAAACTATTCAAGAGCTCTTCCATGCATCCCTGAAATCACCACCATTAACCTTCTTTCATCCTAATAGCTTCCATTGACTCAAATTCCATTCCAGGCTGATTGATTCCAAACGTCCTAGTTATGAATGTCATTGTACGTCCCTCTATTGCTTCCAGGAAAGATTCACCCCACGCATCTCTTGCTTTTGCACTCCATAAGGCAGGGGTGTCAAGCTCAAATCGGTCGGCGGACCGCATTCCCTACCCTGCGGATGCATGCGGGCTGCACTCACAATTTCTCATCGAAATCTGTGCCGACAGTTAATTCAAGCGGAAATTTCAAAAACAGACGGCGGGCCGGATGAACCACCTCCGCGGGCCGTATGTTTGACACCCCTGCCATAAGGGTATCCGCCATCTTTGCGACTGCAGCGTTAGCATAACGTTTCTAAAGGTATTCAGACGGTTTTACCATTCAAACTATTCATCGTAGAGCAATAGGACTTCAACACGAATGGGAGCATGAATGAGACCGTACAAAAGAGAAATAATAGTCATTGGAAACAGCCACTAGGAGTTCATCACCCATCAACTAAGCTTACGCTGCATATTCAAAATGGTGTAAAACCACCGTCCGGGAGATGCAGGGTGGATGGAAAAAGTGAGGGAGCATGGAAACTCTGTAACATTGTTCTCATGCATTTCATGCAACTTTTCTTTTTACTTTCGTTTCTCTTTTTGAATAGTGCCCCCACTGCCTCCTCCTCCCTCCTCCCCGACCTTGACGCTAAGCCGCTGCCCTGGATATCTGAAGTCCGTTGTGTAACAGCTTCGGTCAGCCGTCTCTCAAGCCCAATCAAACAAATTTTTGTTCGTCTATCGTCGACCAATAGCTATGCTATTAGCTGACGGATGGGCTCAATCTTTCCGAAGTCTCAAAACTCCTCAAACAATGGGAAACGTTATGGTCAAGGTAAGTTGGGTCTAACTTCCAGGGGTGTCAAACTGGAGGCCCGCGGGCCAGATCCGGCCCGCGAAGTCCTCAACAGTTCGTAACGAAGAAGTGCTGCAAATTTCAGCCTGTTTGCATTAAAGATTAGGTGTTAGGTTTTTATTGTGGCCCTTAATCACCCTTGAAGGCTTCCATCCGGCCCCCAGCCAAATCGAGTTTGACACCCCTGATATACACCCCTTTTTGTACGTAG